TCGGACAACTGCGTGTTCTACAAATCCGATTGCGTGGTCTGTGTCTATGTCGATGACTTTCTCATTACGGCAGCCAATTCGCACGAAATCAAACAAGTGCAACAAGCATTGGAGAAGGAGTTTCAATTGAACGACCTTGGAACTCCGCGTTCATTCCTCGGAATCCAATTCGACTATCATCCCGACGGAGGTGTTTCTATTCACCAACACCAGTACATCCAAAAGATTCTGTCTGACTTTGGCATGGAAACCTGTCAGGCGAAGACTACCCCGATGAATCCCAAGCAAGTTTTGAATCATCATCCGGACGAAGCACCTCCAGACGAGGAAGCCAAAGCACGATTTGCAACCGCCATCGGTTCGTTGATGTATCTGATGGTTGGAACGCGACCGGACATCGCGTTTGCGCTGGGCACGTTGAGTCGCTTCACGTCTCAGCCGCAATCGCACCACCAGGTCGCCCTGCAGCGATTGCTTCGCTATGTCAAAGCCACACAATACCATCGCATCACATACCGCAGCGGACAATTGATTGGATACACGGATGCCGACTTTGGCGGCTCTGTCGTCACTGATGGAGCCTACTCGACGTCCGGGTACGTATTCCAACTTGCGGGTGCGCCGGTCTCCTGGTCGTCCAAGAGACAGGGGGAAGTAGCCACGTCTACAACTCATGCCGAATACATCGGGCAATACAATGCCATTCTGCATCTGCAATGGCTCCGCACCTTTCTGGCCGAAACGCAACTGTATCGGTCTCCAGTCACCAACATCATGGCTGACAACCAGTCCGCCATTGCCCTCTCGCGCAATCCCGAGTTCCACAAACGGACCAAACATTTCAACGTGAAATTCCATTATCAGCGAGCAGTGCTGAATGCTGGCGAGATTGGTCTTCAATATGTTCCTACTGAGGAACAAGCCGCTGACGGTTTCACCAAGCCGTTGGGACCTACGGCTTTTGTCAAGTTCTGTAGTCTTCTAGGAATCGAAGCCTCGGAGACTCAGAGGCAACAAACGTGACAGCGCAGGCGCTCTTCCCACTTTATTTTCCCACGAAGGTTTTTGAGTGGTTTTACCGAGGCTTGCCTGCACAGCGTTAAGCCAGTATCGCCTTGCCAGCAAAGCGATCCTGAGGGGGAATGTTGTGACATGAGGCTGGTGCAGATCAGGAACCAAGCCGCACCGTCGGAATTAAGTCCGAGGTATCAATATGGACAACCCAAGTTGATTTCCAATCAACTTGGCTCATTGCTGTATATATAGGCTCATGTATCCCTCTGGAAGAATAAGTCAATCCATACCTCTGAACAACAACAATGTGGAATCATTATTTTGTCCACGTCTTCGGGAGACAAAAGCTTAGGCATCTCGCTCTTTTCGTACGGTTGACCACTTTTCCCGAGTAAAAGTTAGTCCAGTTTCAGTCTTGAACGGTGATATCTATCTTTCAAATACCGGATTGTGATGGTGTTCTTGATGACGATGTTGCCCCTCGGAAGATCGTTCTGGACGCTTATGGAAAGACGCTGTGTGACATGATACTCCATCTTCGAGGATTCGGACTAACACTCTCAGTAAAATGTAGAGTATACTTGTCATAGATTCGCAACAAAGAAAAAGTTTTAGTTCGCAAGAATGGCGAAGCACTTCCAAACCTAATATACACGTCTGAGTGCCTTTAGCCACCCACACGTTGGGTTCTGGGCTGTCTCTGCTTGCTGCGTTACGCGTAAGACATCAATATTCCAAGGAACTTACAAGATCAGGTCCACTGTTCTGAAGGCCAAGTATCCGGGTATCCAATGCGATCGTTAACTTTTGCCAATTCGAACGTCGGCCCCGCGTTGGGGTCCACATTCTTCCATGCGCGATTAGTGCGTAAAATTATGTCATATACCTTACTGCTCCGCACGAATCGAATCGAATCGAACTTTTGCTTGATTCGATTCGATTCGAATAAATATTGAAAATAATGGTTCGTACGAATTCGAATCCTAGTCCGATTCGAATTCGATTCGAAGTTCGCGAACTTTTGCTTTAAAGCCTCATTGGGAAGGCGGTAAATCAAGTCTGGCAATACCTGCTATTGAACGCCGTACAATTGACACAACACCACAATATGTCGTTTAATGAACAGCATTTATTAACCCAACTAGCTACATATTTAATGCGTACGTAAATACGTAGCTTAGGGCTATCTCATCATATAGATTTTGAGCAAATTGGCTCTGCATTGAATAAGCTTTAGGGCTGTATCAATAAATGTGGGTTTTCGTTAACCACGTCCATGTATAAAATATATAGTTTATACTCCCAAATTGACCCACCAAGTCCATAACCTTATTTGTGCTCCGTTTTGCTTCAAATTACATTCACTGATAGATCGCAATGAGATACGCGTAAGATAACAATACAGCATCAAAATATCAGTAGTTGCATAATTTACCCAATGTAGAGTAAGTGGATAGTCTAATCGGGCTAGCGGAGATTCGACTAGAACGCGTCTCCGCGCGGACGTGCTTTGTCCCAGAACAACATCTGAATCTCGGTCAAAAGTTACTGAAAACCACCGAAGTGCTCTAAAGTAAGCGATCAATCGAGACAAAGCTTGACATACTGATATAATATTACTGTATAGATGACATCTCCACTTCCTACAATATTCGACTGTCCCAATACTAGGAAGAATAAACGCGATTATGCGGCGCTTAATAAATATGGCCTCCTTGCAGAGAACATACCACTTCCGCCTCCCCGAAAGAAGATGGCGGTCCGGTCCGCCGTTAAGTTGCCGACTCCTCCGATTTCAACCTCTCCTACAGCTCCCAGCAATGTCTCTATGAGTCTATCGAATCTTGATACGGATATACGTCCTTCGCAATCAATATCTCAGGTCGAATGCGAGGTAGAGAGGGTCGAAATCAAACAGAAAGATGAGATTAGGTCGAAAGAACGGAGCTGGGTTTGGAAACACTACCTTACTACACCTGAATCTGGTACCTGGAGATTAGGAAATAAGGAGCGGTCCGAGCTTAAACACCTGTGTATTGTATCGCCATCCACCTGCCGATTCTTTCGATTTGCATCGAAACTGCGATCTTCAACCACAGCGTTGAAACAGCGCCTGCAGCAAACCCACAAGCTCTTCCAGGACGGCCATTCAGGGTGCCAAGGTCCGTTAAGCTCATGGATTTCTAAGGAAAAGAAGCTCCCATTCGAAGAAGCTGTCTTGAATTGGATTGTATCAACCTGCCAACCGTTTACATGCGTCGAACAGCCTTCATTCAAGGCTATGTTGAGGTCTGCAGGCTTTCAGGACTCCGTACCAAGTGCGGATACTGTGTCGCGCCGATTATGTCTTCGGCTTGATGCTATTGACAGTGAGCTTCGAATCTTGATGTCTTCAGCACCCTCAATTGCGCTATCTTTGGATGGTTGGACCAGTCAGAATTCGTTGCCAATGCTAGCCATTAATGCTCACTGGATGTCCTCTGCCTTCCAGCAATATCGAGCTTGTATTGAGTTCGTTGAAATTGAAGGCAGCCACTCTGGAGAGAACCTTGCTAATATCGTTGCGACGGTTCTCGAGAGGTTTCATATATCTGATAAAGTTATGACAATTACAGCTGACAACGCATCGAATAACGATACCCTACACCGATATCTCTACCAAAAGCTGTCTCAGCGGTACGATGAGTACCTGGCCGAGACTATCATCCGAGAAGGGACGATGAAATTTACCCATAACTCCCAAATCCGCTGCTTTGCTCACATCTTGAACTTGGTTATGAAAACTATATTGAGGTCTCTACGCGCTAGTTCACATAAGGAGGCCTGTGATCTCCTTGATGATGTTGCTAAGAGGAGCTGGAAGACGGTCAACGCTCCTACTTCGCCTATAGCAAAGCTCCGACTACTTGTCCTTTGGATTGCGCGATCTCCTCAGCGGATACAGAAGTGGGATAATCGACCTGGCTGTACAAAAGCTATCAACTACGATGTTGATACTCGATGGAACTCTACCTTTGTTATGATTGTGAGAGCTGAAGAGTGTCGCCGTCAGCTCGAAGATACAGTCAACGATGATCCAGATATCGAAGCCTTACGTCTCACACCCAACGACTGGAGACAGCTCTCGGATATCAAGAAGATCCTGGCTCCCTTCAACGAATATACCGAGTACGTCTCTCGGGATAGCCCTTCAATTCATATGGCGGCGCGTATGTTTGGAGAGCTCCGTTCTATACTCCTCGCTATCAAGGAACGACGAGGCGAGTGGCAGAAGGTCTCGCCAGCAATAACTGTTCCTGTCTCAGATGGAATCTCACTCCTGGAGAAGTACCACGACTGCGTCAAAGTCAACGACATATACTATATCGCAAGCGTTCTGGACCCTCGAATCAAGACCAAGTGGCTCAAAACGCTACCAGATGGAGAGAAGATTATTGACCGAATTCGGGAGTTCCTGAAGAAAGCATATTCCACTACAAAACAGCCTGTATCGACTACTCCAAACACCAATTGGAAGAGCTTCGAATATCGATTTCTGGAAGCCCTTCAGCCTACACAGTATAACGTCGCTGAGTCTGATATCGACAATTACTTCGATACTCCGACAATCAGCACTGGTTTTGATATAAGCCAGAGCCAGTCCGAGTTTATACGAAACTGGTGGAAGGCCAACATGCTTGAATTTAGTTGTATGGCAAAGGTAGCACAAGATCACCTTGCTATACCGGCAGCAGAGGTAGATATCGAAAGATTGTTCAATGGTGGGAGAGATGTGCTGGGGATTCGACGTTTTTCCATGAAAGGTAAGACCCTTGGGACCTTATTAAGGCTGAAAGATGCTGCACGTTGGAAGTCTTCATAGTTATACAGTAACAGCTTTTTTGGGCATACAGGTGTTTGATATTCTAGACCTTATTTGCAGAAGTATTCTTGTAGGGGCCGGGCATCTCGAAAACTCGTTCTACAAACCCTTTTTCCTAAAAAGGCTAGATGTTAGTTCGCGAACCTGTTCGAAGTTCGCGAATTTTGACGAATCGAATCGGCCATAGATTCGAAGCACCGAAACCAAGGTTCGAATTCGATTCGATTCGCCGAAATTCGCGAACTTCGAACAGTTCGAAAATTCGTGCGGAGCGGTAATTGCAGGTCGCTGAGAGAGGGCTCATTTTGGGGGTTTGTATTGATTTAGAAGGGGTGGTGGGGCCAGCCCTCTGGGACCAACGATCGACTCGCTTCCGTTTACCGGTTGTTGAGGAAGGAGTTGGGGGCAGATGATGGTTTGCTGCTGGGAGAAAATGTATATCATCCGTGACGATAGCCAATTGGCGACTCTCTTTTGTGAGACCGAAGATGCGACCCGTCAAAAAAACATGGGCGTTTACATTCAACGGCGGAAAGTTCGCCCAACGTTGCCCGTTCTTGAAGTAGGCGGTGATAGGAAAAGTGTGATGGGTACGAGTGGACGTGTTGTAAACGGTAGTCTGAAGACGGTAGTGCAGTAGAGTTGGCCCATCGTTTAGTTGACCACCGCGCTCAAGAACGACGCCGAGGAAAGTAACTATTGGCTGGGCAGCCCCGGGACAGTGCATGAAGTATGAGGCTGTATCTTCCTGATTACCGGGGTGCCTAGTTTATATAAGTATTTTACTGAAATAAACAAGGCCAACCCACCGATCCAAATTGTGAGCGTGAAGTACAATATGAAACCCTTCATCATCAGACGAAGTCGTTAGAAAAGAGCCCGACGAATAGACGAAAGCATTTGGTTGATAAAGATCTGGCCGGTTGCCCTCATTGAAGAACCTGATGAGGGTGGGGATTTCATTCTGTTCAACATCGTCTGACTGAATATCCTTGCTTGGTATATTGAGTGAAACACGTAGTTGCATGGAAAGCCCTTTACCCGGTCGCGTTGGATCTGGTTCAACATTCTCGATGAAATCGCGAATGTGAAGAATGGCGGGAAAGGATTTATTTGATGGCATGTCAAAAGTAGATATGTACAGAAAAGTGTGGGTTTCAAGGGGAGGGCGCAAAAAGAAAAGCAGTGAAGGGAGAAAGCAGGCAATAGTAGTGGTGCAGCATGTCAGGCGTAGATACGAGCGAGAACCTGATCAGTCCAAAGTTCCTGACCGCTTCTTTGAGATGATGATTGCGACATATAGGACACGAGTCTACTCATACAAACGCATGTAAGACGTGGAAAGATATGATTGGATATGTGGTCAGTTCGTTTTAAGAATTTGCCTGCCACGCAGCAAGAGTCTGCTGTTGAAGCGCTTGCAGCCTTCGCATTTCTTCAAGCAATTGAGGGTCAGGTCTGTGCTCAAGATCACTCATACTGATCGATTGAAGAAGATGAAGGCCATTCAGCGATCGAAGGCGTGACAGCTGCACGTATGTGGAACAGTATTTTCGGTGGGAGTCTTGTCGCCGATTCTTGATATGGTCTTTCAGATCCAGAATGACAGAGTCGAGGGTTGCGCCTTGGATTTTATAGTCAGTGAGACAAAATGCTGGACAGATAGGGATTTGTTTTCGTCGGACAGAATATCCTTTCACAGTAATAGACATCTCGAGCGGAAAGATAGGTAAAACACCACTATCAAGCGATTGGAAGAGATTCGATTGGGTGCGGGCTGGTTTGAAAAGAAGACAGACCGGCGGCTTGGTGCAAACGATATACAGGTCGTCGAGCTTGAAAAATTCCGCTAATCATGCATCGTTCGGCTCAGAACGACGGCGGATGATATATATTGAGCAGTGACTCACCTTCTGGATCAATCGCAATGCCCATGGTTTGGCCGGTTGCACCATTGACCAAGCCTGCCGGTGTGCAAATGTTTGTTAGGACCATTGTCGGCATACAAAGCGTGTACAGGATGAGACCTGGGAAGGGGACTTTCGCGCCTTGCTCGGGTAGACCTAGCAGGTCGTCAGCACGAAGCTGGAGGGGAGTTGGGCCGGAAGATCTTGTTCTGGTGTGGAGAGCTGGAAAAACAATAATGTTCTGATGTCTGGCTCGGGCGAAGCGCTCAATCTGGAGACGATTAATGACGTGGCGAAGTGAGTTCAACTTGACAATGACCGTTGCAGTTTGTAAATGCGGGTCAGTGAGAGAAGTGATCGCCTTTGAATTTAACGTTGACAAGTCGTCGGACGTCAGTGTGCCGGACCTCGCCCGACTCAGTAAATTCCGATATGGTATGTCCTCTGCCTGGCGCATTTGTTCATGGAGGATGATGACTTGCTGGAATTGATCCCAGATGAGTTTCCCGTCTTGTTCCGTATCGTTTCTTGGATGTTTCCATAAGGCCTGTCCTTTCACTGGAGGAAATTGATGAAAGTCGCCCATGAGGATCACCACAGGTAACCCCCCAAAAAGATGCGGAGAGGATCTGTCCAAAGATCGAGCGATCTTACAGTGTGTATTGATAATACTTAATGCGGAGAGATCTATCATACTCACCTCGTCTATAATCATGGCGGTCTTCCGAGACCATAGCCTGCGAACTCTAGGACCAACTCCACCCCGTCTATAGCGGTTGAGAGAAATCCCAAGGGACGTATGGTACGTGCTTCCTCCGATGACATCGGCAGCAGCTCCTGTGGGCGCCATTAGGATAACCTCGTCCTTTCGGTGGACCAGGTCCATCGCGGCGACAATCGCTTTGATGATCTGGCTCTTGCCCACTCCGCCTTCACCTCCCACGTAGAGGAGATTTTGCTTCCGCATAGAAGAGTCATACGGGTGGTTGATACAAGCCAGGAGGTTAGACACGACTCTTTCCACGACAAGACCTTGTTTCTCATTCAATGGAATAATATCGCGCACCAGTGATGTTAATGACGCACCCGTGGGATTCTGACCTATTTCGGAACGACGGCGCTGCAAGTCAAGTGATAGGTCTGATTCGGTCAAAATGGGGACCAAAACGTCGTCAGTCAGTCCAAGATTAAAGTCGTCGAGGTCTGATGCAGTAGCGGTGGGCATCCCAGGTTGTGTGTCTTGATTTGCGGCCTTGGTAATATTCTGAAGACGGGTTTTCCAGTCTTGCAAGGTAAACACAGGGAAGCATTGGAGCCCAGTTGACTCATACAGTGTGCTGTTTGAAATTTGAATAGGTCCAAAGTTATCAAATTGAAGGGGCGAAGATGGCAAACTTGTCGAGGTGAGAGTGGGAATACGTCGCTGGGCATCATTTTCTTCATTCGACCAGCCTCTACCTATTGCAAAAAAAGCCGCCAAAAGTGTTTCTTTGCTTATAGAGTCTTCCACATGTTGCGAAAAACGCATGGACACGTTTTCAGCATCGGACACAGGGTAGGGCGGACTGGTTAACTCTTGGTCAACCGCGGATGTATTTTGCGCGGAGCGATTCCGCAGAACAGCATCTGCCTGACAATCGGTCTTTGATTTCCGTAAAAGCTCGATGTTTTGCGCAAACGTCCGAACATATGGTGAAAGTGTTGGCTCGATACACATCCAGATGTGATGAAGGTCGAGCGATGTGGCAGAGTCAGTAGGTGTTTGACGGACAAGTGATTGTAAGTCCTGCCAAGGAATGAACAGTCCAAGGAGAATCTCGGCTAGATCATTCTGAATAGCTCTAGTTGTAGGGTGTCCACCTGGCATGGAATCCTCTGAGGATTGAAATTCTGTCAGCTCGCCTTGAAGTGTCACAGTGGCTGTTTGTGACGCAGATCGAGCCAGCCTTTGCAAATGTGTGTGGTGCCTTGGATGCGTCTCATGGAACGGAATATCTTCTGTTGTTGCATCCTGGAGTCTCTTGGTGCGGACTATCATGCAGTACTCGAAGATGCACAGGGATGATAAAGGGTCACCCCGCAATTTATAATTATCAAATATGTTTGCCGGTGCGGTCGTACTCTGGTCAAAATTGCATGGTTCCTCTCCGATTGAATCTGATGGTACAGCATTCTGAAGGCGTTCCGGATGGATCATAGAACGAACATATCGTCTCAGCCACCAGAGATTTAAACGGGTGAAGTTGTAGTTCAGTGTATAATGCGATGGAAGTTGGAGTAATGTGCTCGCCACTTGCACTCCACTGATTTCTCGGTCTTGTGACAAGCTATTGAAACAGCGGAGAGCGAATTTGTCCATTCCTCTCTCGCGAAGCCGTATATCAGCTGAGCTTGGCGTAGAGGTAGAGCTTGCGCGATCAATGGCTTGTTTTAACAACGCAGCCTTCGTCACCATTTGGCCAGGCGAAATATCGTCTTTGGTCGCATAATTTGTGATGTAATAAAGGAGCGACAGTGATTTTGACACCGTCGGAATCCAAGAAATGTCATGGTTAGAGCGGATACAGCTGGCGATGGAAGGGTTCCATGAATTAACCCCAGCATGGTTACGTGCAAGATGCACAACACCGTACTCGTCTACTTTAGACACTTCTAAAAGATCCCTCGGCATGCCAAAGCGGCAAGAATCGTGGGCTGATCCTGGCTGACGGTACTTAAAGCAAGTCGCAGTGTGGCGCTTGGAATGAAGTTGCCTGGTCCGAGCAATGGCGTTGCTGTCAAGGAAAAGTTTCTCGACAAATTCGCTATCTGACTCCGCGGTGGTCGGTGAAGGTGGCGTGCTTGAAACAGTTGCTCCGGGGCTTCCATCTTGTCCGCGTAAGCTGTGCACGATTATTGACTCTAAGAATTTGATCATCTCATCAGCGAAATGACTATCTGCAAGAACACGGTCTCGTAGTTGGCTCCAAATTGTGAAGGTGCAGCATGCCTCGGCCATTACTCTCCACAACACCGAAGTAATTAGACACGTCCCCAAGAATTCCCGTGTCAGCAGGCTTGCTACCCAGCAGGCCGTCAAGGACTGCCTTGCATGTGCAATGGAAAAATCTAGCGACAGCCACAGGGTCAGACGTTGCTGTCGCACACCTAATGGCCGAAGACACAGTGGTAGAGCCATCAGTTGAGCACTGCAGCCCAGCAAGAACAAGCACAAGGGGATTTTGAAGATCAGACGGGTTGATTGTCAGCCAGAATGCAGGCATTCCTTCGCGTACTAGCAGACCTCGAATCTCGGCACGCATCTGGAGTTTCTGGAAGAAGGACCCTGGTACCTGTACCCCGATGGCAGTTATATTTTTGAGAAGTCGTTGGACAAGCGCATCTGTGGATACTTGGTTTGCAGCGAGTTCTTCGGCGGCCTTCCGTAGGCGATCACTGCTCAATGAGTTAAGATCCCGTGTCACTAATGTCCACTGGGATCGCTTGATAAGCAATGAATTACCAAGGCACGAATTGCGCAGCTGGATAACATCATATAGCAAATACATGAAAGTCTTGTGCTGGGAAAATCTGGATCAATCAGCTCTAAAGCTATGCGACCAGCGATACAGCCATACCTGCGGCTATGATGGCGTAGTGCCCAATTCGCAAAAGCAGAGAGTGACACGGGGACAACTCGGTCGTCCAGATGGCCCCCCATACCCGTGGGAAAAAGTGTAGGGAAAGCAGATGTGAAATAGTGAGGGTCCTGCCATTGGTTAAGCAGCAACGCCTGCCCTCGCACACCATATTCAATTGCAGGAGGACTTCGATGGGTATCATATGATAGGGCAGTCTGGTTCATGTGACCAGCAGGAGTAAATCGCGGCTGCACGCCCGGCGCTGAATCGTTAATCAAAGTGTTCATTGTGTTAAGCAGGCGCAGGTCAGGGTTCTGGCGCTCTCCATTTATATCAACGGTAACGGAAGCAGTGACAGGAAGGGAGTTTTCGGTTAAGTGGTCTGAGTCATTCTCTGCGGCTTGCCAGTCGTTCTCATAATTGCCTTCTTGTAAATTGACGCTATAGCCGCCTCGCTCGTTGTGGTCCGTTTCATTCAAGCTTATAACTTGCTGCTGTATATCAGATGGTATGAATTCGTCAGGCCAGTTATAAATGGTGGAATGTGCAACTGTGACGTCTCCGTAGAGAGGATTGTGCTGTATAAGATATTGCAGAGCGGCGAGGACCTTGGACTTGCGCACAATCAGGAAAGGGCGAAGATCGTCATCGGTTGGTGCACCATTTCCGAGCCAAAAGACTTTTAAGAGCTCCGTGAGCTGTAGACCCGGACTAGGTAATATTTGGAGGAGAGGTTTTGGATCTTGTGGTATAATTATAAAATGACCACGTAGTGCATGGTAGTTTGCTGGCGGCATTTGGCCCCCGGGCCGTAGCTTCAAAATCACCCCAACGGGGTGAGATCTGGCAATGAGATACTCTTCAGTAAGAGTAAGGTCTTTGAGGGAGTCAGGGTAGTGCTGGCACAGAGTAACATTGACCTTATTCTTTGCGGAGAACTTTGGAGCAGAACCGCGTAGGAGTGCGGCGTGGCATCCTGAGCACAGGTTCCAGAAGCCATCAATGTAGCCACAGCGATCGAGGAACCCTTCCAATGGCCTTAGTACAGAATCCTCATCTAGAAAATGACGGGCGTCAGTACTAGGGATAAGCATGCCGCACGAAGAACAAGTAATGTCTCGGCTGGCGGCAGCCATTCCCTTCTCAAATCGAGCTACGGACAGGCGAATGTGCGAGGGGGATATCTCGGGGGGGAACAAGCTCGAGGCAACTAGGCGAGAGCCATGTTCCTGGAGCAGGAAGTTTACTGCTCGGTTGATGACGAAAGACGTATCTTCAGTCTCTATTGTATCCGGGGCAGGAGTCGGGGTTGGCAGCGCCTGAGGGAGAGGCCTCTGACGCTTTCGTTGCGGTGAGTTTGTGGGCGTATTTGGCAGCTCAAAGGAGTTCATAGTTGGATCGAAAGACGTTCCATGAGAGTGGCCAAAATTGATGGGGCGCTGCACAGCGTCCGCCCTTCTAGACCTACAGTTGAAACAGCGCATGACGCCAGGTCGAGTGGGGAACGGATTCCGACAGTCATAACAAGGAGAATAAGATGTATTAAAAGACAACACAGCCTCACAACGCGCGCAGCGAACACCCGGCGAGGTTGCAGGAATTGGAACATGGCAGCGTAAGCATGGGCGTGTTTCAAGCGCAGGAGACAAAAAAGAAAGTCGACAAGCAGGACATCTCGGTGGTTGAATGGTTGTAGATAGACGAACTTGGCGCCCACAGTCATAGCAAGGCCGATTAGATAACATTTCGGAACAAGGATGCCAAAGCAACAAGAGGGGCAAATACAGGAGAGAACATACTAAGTGGAAATCGTGGTGGTAATAAACAGCAAAACGTTGCAATAAAACGAAGGACAAAGTGCATAAGACGCAGCAATAATAGCTGGTGAACGTGCATAAGTTGCAGACAAAACCCTAGAACCCTAAAGCCAAGACCATCTAGTCCGAAGAAAGCGACAATAATGCAGGTACCAGTGGGCAGGAAGAGCGAATGAGCGAAGTGCGTGGCAGAACAGCCTATAAGTAATTAAGCCACCACTTTTTGCTACTGGGGGACGCGCGCTGACGCACGCTGTAAGCCCTGAAATGACGTGGCATTAGTGGAGATAGATCTGGATGACGTGGCAGTATCAACATGACGGATGAGAGTTAAAGAAGCCGAGTCAGACAGGTAAAGCCCAAGCTGCAAGTGTTTTGGCTTCTAAACCACATAACCTTTCCATTTCCACGATGAGGTCGGGGTCGGGAGAAAAGCGGAGATCATCAGTAGAGATTTTTTGGAGTAAATGGAGACCTTCAAAAGATCGCAGCCTGGAAAGTTGAACGTAAAGGGAGCAGTACTTTCGATGAGAATCTTGTCCTCGTCGAGCTGTATCATTTTTTAGGTCTAGGATTGCGGCACAAAGAGTTGAGCCTTGCACTTTGTAATCGGTGAGGCAAAAAGCGGGGCAGATTGGGATCTGCTTTCTCCTCACGGACAAGCCTTTCACGGAGATGGAACGTTCGATTGGGAAGATTGGCATGGTGAAAGCTGGAAGTTGATCAAAATGTGTTGCTGGTGTTCTATCTGGTTTGAATATGACGGAAGCAGGCGGTCTTGTGCAGAGCGTGTAAAGATCATCTAGATCGAAGAGTTCGGCTGTAGAGGCACGTTAGTTAAGTTTTGGAATGCCGACTGGAGACTTTCCAGCTGGATCTAAAGCAACGCCTACTGCGGTACCCTTGGCACCGTTGACCTGACCGAGAGGGGTGCAGGCGTTGGTGATCATTACGGTAGGCATATCTCTGGTGTAAGTGAGAAGGCCTGGGAATGGGATCTGGGCACTGTGATCTGGCTGGAGGAGTAAGTCATGAGCTTGGAGTCGAAGGTTCGTGGGGCCAGTTGATTTGGTCCGGGAATGAATAGCGGCGAAAATATAAATTCTCTGTGACCTTCTCCGAGCAAAACTCTCCATACGGATTCGGTTGATTGGATGTCGGATGGCATTCAATTTGGCTATTACAACGGCATTTTCTGAGATGGAATCTGTAAGTGAGAAAATGGATTTGGAATGCAGGTGGATGACATCGTCTTCGGTTAATGCTGCATGTCTTGTGCGCGTCAAGAAATCACGGAATGAAGGATCTTCGGATTGTCTCATCTGCTCATTGAGAATGATAACGTTTTCGAATCGACGCCAAATCAGCCGACCTGCGGCATCGTCATCATTGCCATATCTTGGTTTTTTCCATAATGGGGGACCGTGAACGGGAGGGAACTGGAAGAAATCACCCATAAGAATGACAATGGGAAGGCCACCAAAGAGCTCGGGAGAGGATCTAGGCAGTGACCGAGCGACTTTGCATTGGTTGTTGATCACGCTTAACATTTTCAAATCTACCATGCTCATTTCGTCAATCACCAAAATAGTCTTTTGTGCCCATAGTCCTCTAACGCGAGTGCTGACGGCTGCTTTGTAGGAAAGATTGATGCCAAGAGAAGTATGATAGGTGTTGCCTCCTAAATTGTCTGCTGCGGCACCTGTGGGGGCGGTGAGGATGATCTCTTGTTTCCGACCAAGAATACCCAGAGCGGCTTCGATGGCTCTAGGTATCTGAGTTTTACCCGTGCCACCTTCGCCTGTAATGCAGAGAAGGAGTTGCTTGCGCCGTGATGAGTCATATGGACGGTCCGCCCACATCATAATTTCAGTTAGTAACTTTCGCACCACAAGGACTTGCTTCGTATTCAGTGGGATATCTTGGCCGACCAACGTTGTGAGAGAGTCTGGCGTTGGATTTTCGAGGAGAACAGGTCGTGCTGGTGTATCGTCAGACAAGCTTGCATTGGTCAATACAGGTTGCAGCACGCCACCTTCATCGGCTAGATCAAAGTCTTGCAGTTGCGCAACAGCAGACCGAGACGGGCCGTCGTCCTGAAAGGGTTTTTTGTGGCTGGCAAGGTGGGTTTCCCAGTCCCGTAGGACTGCTGGTGGAATTATTTTTAAATCCAAGGCATGGTCAGATTGGAGAGAATGAGTACTGGAAGGAAGCGGGTTTATCTGTGCAGAAGCGTGTGCTCGGCAGACAGCGGCCAGGACGGGTGCCCTCTTCGCAGCGATGAAACAATCTCGGCCCCAGGTCTTGCTTACAGTGTGGTAGGCAGCAATCAAAGTCTCCGCCGTGAACCTTTCATCTTCAGGATTTATGAAACTACCGTCATCTTGTGCATCTTCTGGATCGAGGTCGGCCGAGTCTATGTGATCAATATGGCGGTCGAACACCTCGGCAGAGTGGTTTGTTTGTCGCAACCTAGCATCGACCTGGCAGTCGTCCTTAGATTTCCGAAGAAGCTCGATATTAGCAGCAAAGTCTTGGATATGTGGTGCAAGTGTGGGCTTCACCGACGACCAGACGCGTGAGAAGAAATCCGTTTCATGAGGTTCACAAAGAAATATATCGCGTAAATTCTCCCAGGGGACAAAGAAGCCGAGAAATATCTCCGCGAGATCATTCGCAATGGCATTGGTCATCGGATGTCCTCCACGGATGGAGTCTTCGGACGTTTGATATTGTGTGAGTTGCCCATTAAATGTGACGGTGGCTATCTGAGACTGTGCGCGGGCGACATGCTGGACGCAGGCGCTACCTTTCGGGTGAGACGGGTCAAAGTCAAAGTGGTCGGAACGAATTCTTTGCTTCTTCCTTATCTGGACTAGCATACAGTACTCAAATAATGAAAAGCGGCAAGGTCGAACCCGCGCCATTTATAGTTGTCAAACAGGCTCACTGGAACTGCATCTCCAGTTTGGAATGTACAGGGCTCGTCAGCAATTCCAGCGGAACTATCAGGGTCTGTACCGGTCTGACGTCGAAGATCGCGCACGTAATGTCTTAGCCACCACAGATTGACACGGACGAATCTTGGGTTGACAGTGTAGTAGCTCGGAAGATGGAGCAGGGTACTAGCGACCTGAACACCACTCACTTCTCGGTCGTGCGCCAGACTATTGAAGCAACGGAGCGCGAAATTATCCATGTCTCTTTCCCGAAGACGCAGATCAGTGGCGGTTGGTGGAACGGCCGTTTTTGCTTTTTCAATTGCTTGCTTCAAAAGAGCCCCTTTTGCTATCATCTGCCATGGAGACACATCATCTTTAGTGGCGTAGTTGGTGATATAGTAGACTAGAGCCAACGATTTTGAGACGGTCGGGATCCAAGAGATGTCGTGATTTGAGCGGAGACAGCTGGCAATAGAGGGATTCCACGGGTTAATCCAGGGGTGATTCCGAGCCAAGTGGATCACGCCAAGATCGTCGATTTTAGAGGAGGGCAAAATTTCACGGGGCATGCCAAAACGACAAGTGCTTTTAGATCGGTCTGTCGGGCGGTATTTGAAACACGTGGCGAAGTGGCTTTTAGAGTGCAATTGTTTAGACCGAGCGACAAGATTGCTGTCATTGGCAAGTCTGAGGTGGAAATCATGATCCGACTCTGATTCGGAAGCAGAGGGGCACGCTGGCGCAAGATTGGTTTCCGGATCAAGGGGAATACTCTCATCTACGCTCTGGATGATGATGCTCTCGAGGTAGTGGAGCACACGGGTAGCAAAGTCAGTGTCGGCGAGAACGCGGCTTCGTAGATTAGCAAATGCAAGATTGCCTTTAAGCCACACCATTGCGTGTAAATGTAACATCCCTCTGCCGTTGGTTTCGACCACGCCATAATGATTTAAAACATCTCCGAGGATTCCGGTGTGATGGCGCCCGCTGGCGAACAATCCTTCCAAAACAGCGGTGCAGATATAATGGAAAAACGAGGCAACCGCTACTGGGTTGGATGTGGCGGTCGCACCTCGAATAGCCGAATTCGAAGCAGATAGGATATCGTCAGAATACTCAACACCCGCCAAGATGATAACAAGTGGACTTCGTAAATCCGAGGGGTTGATGGTAATCTGTCGAACTGAGGGGTGGTATTTTACCACTAAGGACAGGGTTATTCATCAAGTACCCATTCCCTCTTTGTCTCTGTATGGTAAACGGGGTACGCTCGGCATACCAGCGTTGTAACACGCTAGGAACGACTCCTGAGATCTGATAACACTTCAACAGCAAGATCCAGATAGAACAATCAATGCATCTCAATGGGACACCTCAATACTAGTACATACCAGTATCCGTCAATCCGACATAATCCAAAAAGCGGGCATTCCAAAACGGATGATGAGACCTCGGATTTCAGATCGCATTCTCAATTTTTGAGCGAAAGACCCGGGGACCCACATGGCAATGGCTTTCATAACATGTAGTAGACGGGAAATTACTGGATCTTTGATTTCCTGACTGGTTTCTAGATCTTGCAGTGCAAAGCGAAGCCGATCTTCTGTGAGAGAAGAAATATCGTCAGTAGTCGATGGCCAGTGACGGCGTTGAAGGACCAATTTATTCGCGAGAGATGATTTCCGAATTTGTAGCACGTCGTATATAAGGTACATGAAGGTTTTGTGGCGCGCGAACCTGCTTTAGTCAGAGTCGGTAGTTCACCAGGAGATACCGTTCAGTAAAGCATACCTCCTGCTATGGTGCTTCAGTGCCCATTCGGCAAAAGAAGACAAGGAGACATTAAGTGGACGGTCGTCCAGATGGCCTCCAAAACCAAGCGGAAACAAAGCTGGAAAGGCGGCAGTGAAGTATGTTGGATCATCCCAATGGTCTACGAGGGTGGCCTGGCCCTGAATTCTGTAAGAAAGGCTAGGGATCCGCTGTTGGCCGTGCCTAAGCGTACGTTGGGTGGACGATGCGGAAGGGCTTGAAACCACGTTCAACAAAGCATTCAAGAGGCGCCTGTCGGGGTTTTGACGTTCACCATTAATATCGGTGGAGACGGACCCAGCTATTAGTGGCGCATTGCTATCCATGTCCAGATCACTAGCTTGTGCAGCCTGGAAATCATTCTCATAATTACCAGTATCCAAGTGAACTGAGTAACCTTCTCGTTCATGACCATCTGGCTTGTCAAAATGCGAGTACAGAAAGAATGTTTTCAAAGAAAAATAAAAAAGATCAATTCATTCATGTTCTGTTTAAACACAATGGTTGACCCGGACTTGGATCCCGAGAAGACAATTACACGTAAATTCTAAGGCTGCTGGATATGGTATACGTCATTGCCTTATTACAGGCTTTAGATGATCTGATGATAGATAGATGAGACACGAATGGGCCCGTCTCACATGCTGTCAATTATGACCTAGGGCACGGGGCATATTGTGGATTTTCGTCCCATCGATCATACGTTTGATGGGTGGGTTGAAATATAATGTGTGATTGGCCCACCGCTACTCCTTTCTCCACCTTGGAGAAGCTAAACTATTTTGGTGGAATAAATAAAACCTCTGTATAACTGTCATAACGCAAGTCTATATGCAATAGCAATTGGTGGGAAAGACGAATTCTTACGGAGGGCCGAGAATATGGTAACTATATGGATAATCGTAGCTCAGAGGTTCGTCAGGTCGATGGAACTATGGACTGAATCTAGTGGCCTGTGTTTTGTGTTTGAACTAGACCTAAAAAGCTTGTTTCAAGAGGTATACATCTGTAAGAGCGGTACAATGTGACGTATAGCCTCCTGTGAGGCTCGTGCTCTTCGGAGATATCTCACGTGAACGTATTGCTCTCAAGAGGATCCTCACAAGAGGATTTCCCTCTCAAAACAGGGCTCTTAATACGTTCTTTTCGAGTCAGCATATTTCTTGAGAGCAGCAGCCCATGATTATATTATCGTGATCGCCTGCTTAGGGTAAACCCCTCCATACATTACATATGTAGATTCAAGAGATGCCTCTCGGGTGGTAAATCGTCCTGAGATGTTTCTCTTGCAAGTACGTAGCTCATGTTTGTGCAAAAATGACAAGTCGGACTTCGTATTTCTATACAAGATTCAGGACGAAGTACATATATGTTCTTACGACTCCTAAAGGGGTGACGATCGGCTCGCCTTCTTGATCTCAGAATTCAGGGAGGTCTAAATCGGTGCCAGATAATATCTGATCCCAGATTCCATGCTCCCAGGCATGCTATTGATTGCTTAACCAACGCTCCCAGGGTACCACCTCTCATTTGTCAGGGATATACATGAAGTATACAGGATGTTTGGAGAAATGATCTGCGGGACCCACATGGTGTATATGGGTTCCCCTGAATGCGAGGAAGCTACCTTTCTTTTGCTTCCTCGCGCTACGTCTTGTATCTAGAGTCAACGATAGCCTTCTTTAATATTGATTACTCATCTACGGATACGTGAGACCCTCACAGCTAGTGCGAAAGGCCCTGGGAACGACGGTTCACGGTCCCAGGAGCTTCAACTACCGCTCCTAGGAGAGCACATTCCCACACAAAACTTAGCTCTCTTAAGTGCTAATTGGGCTTAATGAAGGTCGCTATAGAAAACCCCCTGCGGCACTTTTTTGAGGGCCAGGAACGGAGCTGTCCTTCCAGGGATGTACATGGGGCATACACACTAAGTGGAGGACACTGAACCTTGATTGTACTGGCCTCCTCAGTTGCACCTCTGTTATTTTCCAATAAGGCGCCTCTGGATATGGTATGATTCGTTCCACCAAAATTTCGGCAAGGGATACTCGCAGTAATCTCGAGCCCATCCCTCAAAGCTTTATGTTTGAATTCGACGATCGAGGTCGAAAGGTGGCGCTGGCCGTCATGGGATGAGCTCGCCTATACTGATCAACGTCCTCGGAATCAACGTCCGCTCTGAGGAATGTTTAAAGCTCGTTGAACGATAACTCGCCGATTGCAAGACCTGGAAAAGCCCCCAAATAGATTGATTTTATTGGGACCCCAAAAAACTAGCCCAAATTCGTGCCAAGGCTACGAGAAACAAGCATACAGCAAGCATATCTTCTGCATCCGCTGATGAAAAGCCGAACCAATTGGTTAACTCCAACATAGGCTCGGCAGATGGTTTCTGGAGCTAAAATCTACGTGCTATGTGGTAGCCCAAGTTCAGTTGGTGTCTTTTCATGGTATTGGAGCTACTTAGTGTCTCTTGGTACGTTTTAGCCCGAGGTGCTTTGATTTCTGTCAAATATGTTTGATGTTAAACCATGTCCCCCATTTCAATCCTCTGTAGCTGTGCTAGGCTTGCGCTCCAGCACTTAGGATTACCCGCCGTGGCCGCCCTCATAACCACCGTGGCCGCCCCTGTAGCTTTCCTGTCCTCCTTGGTACCCGCCGTGGCCACCGCCCTCATAACCACCGTGGCCGCCTCTGTAGCTTTCCTGTCCTCCTTGGTACCCGCCGTGGCCACCGCCCTCATAACCACCGTGGCCGCCTCTGTAGCTTTCCTGTCCTCCTTGGTACCCGCCGTGGCCACCTCTCTCATAACCACCGTGGCCGCCTCTGTAGCTTTCCTGTCCTCCTTGGTACCCGCCGTGGCCACCGCCCTCATAACCACCGTGGCCGCCTCTGTAGCTTTCCTGTCCTCCTTGGTACCCGCCGTGGCCACCGCCCTCATAACCACCGTGGCCGCCTCTGTAGCTTTCCTGTCCTCCTTGGTACCCGCCGTGGCCACCTGCGAATCATGTTAGCTAGGCGCAGTGGACGAGACGTCACGAAACTGACCGGCATCAGATTGTGGTTGACTCTGATAATCTTGAGGGTGCTTCTGCCCGGTCACGGCATCAGTGATCTTGTGTTGGATGCCAGAAAATGATGACTGTTGCGAGCCTGACGTCGTCTTTTGGCCGGATAATTGGTTCGTGAGTTTGCCTAAAAGGTTCGACATTGTAAAATAAATGAGAAATATTGCAAATGAAATTTTTATGAGAGAGAATTGGGGTTTGTAGGGGATGCCTTAGCGGCTTTATGGCTGACGTGACTCATTCTACCTCATGGAAAGAGGGGAAGCAATGTGGCTGAGCCAACATACTAAACCCTTTCAGTTTTCAGTGCCTTGTTTTACTTCGGCCGCGCGGCACCCTATCTTCATACTCATGTAGTGAACCTTCGTGGCTAGAATTTTGGTAGGCATCTCGAGAAATCAATTTCGAAATCGGGTTTTACCTAGCTTTATTTCTATTTGTTACCATATTTAGATGTATGTGTTTGATGTGTGATTTTTTGCGAAGTTAGGTGAAGTAGCTGGGCTTTGCATCTGAGACACTTCTGGTTCTGTCGGATGAACACGTTGATGTTAGAACTTTCCCAAGCCCGGGGTAATGCATGTCAATCTGCGGTCTTCATTCTTGAACTCAAATTCACCGCTTATTTTAAGGATTCTCCACGTCCATCCTTTCCAAGTTCTTAATCGATTTAACCACCGCCTTCCACATATTGGAAAAGCGCAAATGACCTTTGGGCCCCCGGCCCCACGCCGCCGAGTTCTTCTGCTAAAGCGGCTGATGCCTGGGCCGACACCTATCCACAGCAGGTCAGACTTTCGCACAGATTTCCACAGGTTATCTGGCAGGACGAGGCGGCATTGGACCTCTTCCGAAGGTTCTCATGCCTCGACGGCTCGTTAAGAATATTACTTGGTGCAAGCTCTGGCTGCAACGTGGTCGAGTGAATGCCATAAGCATGGAAGCATTCGTTAATCACATTTGCTAGATGGACGAAGCTAGACACCGAATGCTCCTTGACAACCACGTGGGCTGACGCAAGCGCTTTTTGCTGGTTCAAGCCCCAAACATGTAGTTCGTGTACCGATTCTATTCCAGGGATCTGTTCTCCCGTCAGACAAATTCTTGTTCTTGAACAAAAGGGCCGTAGGAATCCGGATCAGACTAACCTTTTCCAAGTCATGCTTTATGTCTCTTAGGTCAACCCCAGGGGGTACACTTTCAAGAAGAATGGAGCCAGATCTTTTGACTTTTGATAAAAATGCGCATTAGTTTTGTCAATGGAAGACTTTTCTTGGCTCACCTAGGGGAATTGATGATATGAGGATCATCACCGCGATTCCCATGCTGACTCCAGGATCTGCGTAGTATTTCCCGTCGTAGTGGGCCAACCAGATGACCAAGGCGGAAATAATGACACCTACATTGTTAATGGCATCGCCAATAACGTGAAGAAGCACCCCTAACATGCCAAGATCATACCCAGCATTGTTCCGTGGACTCGCTTGGTGTCGATGCTCTTGGTGAGGAGTAAGAGGCTGCCCCAATGTCAGAGTTATTTATAATGATTTCCACGATCTCAAGAGATACTCACCGTATCTGTACCAAGTGAAGATTCTGCTCTATCCTCGCCGCCTTCATTTATCGTGGACTCTTCGTAGTGCGTGTGGTCCTTTTCGTGGTCATGGGCATGCTCTTCAATAGGATGTTAGAAAGGGCCACTCAAAGCAATGGGATCAGCCAACCATGTAGAAATGTGGCGCTTATGATGTTGAGCGCTAGGCCAACGCATCCGATGATGAGGATGAGCTTTGGTTTCTCGACGCCTGGAAGACGAATATGAGTAAGGGGTTCGGGTGTTGCAAAGGACTATTTCCCATACGCTGGAGAGATACAAATCTTTCGATAGACTGTAAGAAGATGCTGACCCCTAACACGAGGAGAAAAACGCCGTTGAAAAATGCCCCTAGTAGTTGTGCTCGTTGCCAACCAAAGGATAATTCTTTGGGAGACTCATCCCGTGCCGATATCTATTCGTTCTAAGTAAGTGACTTCCGAAACTCGGAACTTATTTTGTATTACCTTGACAGCAGCATACGCCACAACAAAGCCGACGAGGTCATTCAGCTGTAGTGGTCAGGGCCGGGTTTGTCTCAGGGCGGATCTCAGACTCACATAATGGAATGCATCGGCAACAAGCGCGAGGGAGCGTGTGTAGAATCCGACTGTATATCAGGCAAGAGTTGAACATCAATTTCGATGAAATGAAGAGCAGACCCGGGCTACGTACCACTAATCTCAGCGATGAAAAAGGAAAACGATATGCAAATAACAAGCAGAAGCCGACGCTCACGGTTCAGCTTTGCTTCGGACGTCATATTTGCGTGGTTTCACTGAAATAGTAGTGTGCTGACTAGGAGTAGCGAAATAAGAGAGTTGGAGAAAAGAAATGGGGAGAAATCCCATCCCGCCCGTCTCCTGGGAACCAAGCAGGACTAAATGTCACCGCACGTGATGTTCACTACCTTCACCTTGCGGAGCGAGGCAGACCAATCATCGCATTTGCCGGTCGAAGCAGCCAAAGGCCAGTCCGCCACCACCCACGAGCTCGCTATTGTATTTTCTTCTTTGGTCTCCAGCCGGCGCGCACCTCGGTATCCGTCTGACCTTCGTGTCGTGTGAGGGTGCCCATGGTGACAGGTATACCTTTTTCGTGGCAACACGCAGGAACTAGACATGCAGTACGAATGGACACGGCCCACGACATAAGACGGACTGCGTAATTGTGTTTCGGGTATAGCCAACTTCTTGCAGAAGCGAGACATTGAAAGGGGGATAGACTTTTTGGAAAAGCCTTCTCAAACTCAAAGACGCTGACCCGTGGTCTGTTTGGGAAATACTTGCGGTGAGACTTCGTATCACAAAGTAAATGGACCAGTCTGGCTGCCGATCCAACGAAACACGCAAATATTGTTAGCGGGCCCCACATATTACACACGCGAGGCAGGCACAAGAGAATGACGGATGCGGGTAGCGGCCGCCAACGCCGAAACGGTTTGACTCCTCATTCAGCCAACACTTGGGGTCCGCGAGAGGTTCAGAAGATGGATGGATAAATAGTATCCGTGGGCTGGTAAATCAAGAGACCAAGAGGCGTAATCTTGGCGGCATTTCAAGTGCATGCATGACTGAGGCTGGAAGGGTCCAGATCGTATTGCGTGCATGTCATGTAACATCAGGGTAAAACTGGGTAGCTAATATCGAATGAAAGATCATTTTGGATGTATCGGATGAATATCTCGATGTATTGAGTGGGTTTGAGTATTTCGGACGATGAAAATTGTAAGCAACCAAAATGATATGTGAAGAATAGAAATTGTCAAGCTGATCAGGGCATGGGTGCTCGCGACTAATATGTGTAATAATTCCAGGTACCTTGGTGGTTAGCGCCAGGCTTGGCTTAATTTTTCGTTTCTGGGGCGAATAGATTTCTTCCCTAGCCGTGCCAAGCCCACCAACACGCTAACCGGTGTTGGGATTGGCACGGCTAGTCAGAGTAAGCCCGCTTTCACGGAACCCCGCGTGATCACTGATGGCTCAAACATTTTTCGCTCGCTGCACGCTGACTCAGTTTAGCAGGAAAAGGCCTTCCACTAGGATACTCGTAAACCGGGGCCTTGACTCTCTCTACCTACACTCTTCGATTGATTCTCCAACCATAGTGCCAAGACTCACTAGTCTATAACTGGACTAGCCTCAAAATATCGATATTCCTGTTTCAAATCATTCCTGTAATTTACTTTGATAAAATTACGAACCTATACACACTCGTACTTTATTACTATTCGTGGCTGAGTCTCAATGTATTTAGCAGCGGGAGACGCGGCGATCAGGAAGAACGAAAGCCTCCGCTATAATACCGCTGCCGCGTCGGTCCAAGCGATTGCGGGCTCAATGATTTGAGGGGTTGGGTATTAGTTTTGTCTTTGCCTTTGATAATCATCTCAAATGTTTCTGTTGGGTATTAATATAGTAGTACTGATCCTATCTCAAATTTTTCCGGTGCTTGGCTATAATCGAACTTCTTATCGGTTAGATGCCCAGGACAAGCCCCGTGCCATGTCAATTTTTCTGCCATATTCCCCAGGGCTCTAATCCAAGCCCTCCTCCCAACCCTCGCACCTTGGTTGGCTTATGTCAGTTGTGCCCGTTCAATGTGACGTTCTCTCTCTGCCACCTTTTTAGTTCTCAAGAATTAAATAGACCTAGTATGATTCGATCAGGAGGTAGGTAGTGCGAAGAGCCATTTCATGTGACTTGTGGCCTATCGCACGTATCCTGGGACCTGTATGCTCTTTGGTAGCCCCCGCGAGCAAATAAAAGAAATAAACCCCAAGCTGATCTAACGTACTTCGACTGAGAGACAGACACACAGCTAACATAATTTCAAAGCATATTATGGACCCCTTTTAATAATCAAGACCTTAAACATCGGTGGACGATTCCTCGGCATATTGGGCAAATTGCCTGCCTTTCAAACCAGCTTTGGAGACAGCCAAAATGAAATACATGTCCACAAGGAAGCCTTTTTGTTCGAGACATCTGTTCATGGCGCGTGGCTTGTGTATATCCCGGTTTCGCTCTCTCGTTGGTCGAACTAAGTCCTTCCGCAGCGTAGACTTGCTCCCACGGCCACATACCCTCATAACAGATAACACACTTTGCCTCGGCTATCTCTTCAGCGGTAGCATCGGAATATCGTTCATTGATTTCTCGAAGAGCCCTTTGATAGTTAAAAAAATCACGTAAGCGCGTTATGAGCGAGAGGGAAGTGGCAAATATATGGCTAGTGATAATAGGACGATTATAGGAGGCAAGGCAGACAAGAAGGTAGGCTAGGCTGATAGATAATGCTGCGCACTCTACAAACTTATTAGCAAGGCCAAATTCTGAAATGTAGTTGATCGGTTATTTGAATGTGGCAATTATGTTTACGTACCTGCTGTCACATCCAGAGAAAAATTCCATCGCCTTTTGTCCTTTCGTTCTTCGGTTGCAATGTCTGGACAACCACCGTTATTTTCAGTCGACATATCCGTGTCTGTTGATGTGCCAATTCCGCCCGTGATCGCTATCCGTGTGCCCTGCGTTGATTGTAAGGGATTTCTCGTGGAAGCCTCCCTAAGTAGCCAAAAAAAGGACAGCGTTGTTGACACAGCCGATACCGACAAGATTGCATGTTCGAATCCAAACATAGTAACAATCTTTGCATCGGTGGCACGCTGTGTGGCGTGGAACATGCGACACGACATGAAGATCTCGAAAGTTAGAGATAATAAGACTGCAATTAACACGCAGATATAGGTGCGCGTTCGTGTGTTTCGTTCTTGACGGAGCGACTCAACCCTCCACTCTCCTATCCATACCCACATCCTCCCCGCTAGTAGTGCGGTAAACAATAATAGCATTTCCACGTCGATGTCAATGTCGAGGATAATCACTGTCATAATGGACTCTAGAGTAGCTGGAACAAACCTTGCATATAGCTCTTCACTTTCTGCAGGATCTAAGGGGCCGTATAGGAGGCAGTGAAGCCCGAAAATAATAAGAGAGCCGCATAGCAGGAGGGTATTAACGGCGATCTGTCGACCATTAGAATTATACTTTTCACTGCACCACAGAGAGCTGGACCAGAAATTCTGTATAAGTTGGCGGATAACCGGCAGCTTGGAAATCTAGGACCCGAGGGTAAAATGATGATGGCATTGCTGTGTGAGGTTGAAGTATCAAACGTTGGTATGATAAGTCCTTAACAGTCAAATTGTATAGACGCGGAGGGAGAGCAGGACGCCTGGTATTCTCAATTAGATTAATAATGTCTCAAGATTTCAGATCGTTATTATACCCCAATGTCAGTGGCAACAGTTGCGGGATTTGTGCGTACTTAGCTCCTCTCGAGTCTTCGGAAATGTTTAAACCCGATTTTACGCGCCTTGTGAGCTTGCTGAACTTTATTGCTTCTGTCCGCGTTTCTTGGGCGCTCAACCCTGGTTAGGTATTGAGTACAATAAAATCTAGTCATCATAAAAATGGGTCTGTGCTTTAGGTACCGGTGGTGTAATCATCTTGCCTCGCAAAAGTCATGCCCACCGAAAATAAACCAGGTGTCACAACCTGGGATCTCCCTAAGCTAGCTACCTAGTCATGGGTTAATCTTGGGCTTTTATCACGCAAGGAGCTCAAACAAGTGTGATCGAGGCCATATATAATTTAGTAGAAGATGCAAAATAGCAAGCATTATAGCTCGTTGTAAGTCTGGAGATAGTGCGTGCCCCATGTCCATGCCTCCCGGTCCCATTCTTCTACCGCCACACCATTGGCTGGCCGCTGGTGTCTCCACCGGTTGACTCGTCAGCCGCCGATGACCTCCGTCCACCCTGAAAACCATACAAATCGACGTTTTGTCTTTTCCATTCCACTGCTTTATAAATTCTCTATTTTACTGTCTATATTGTTAAATCCTATGACTACTTTGTTCCTCTTTCTGCGCTTTTGCATGTTCGGATATTGTCCCAGTGACTGCGGCGATGCTGATTCAAGGAGAGAAGTGGGCGTGCAGGGCCTGTGTACGAGGTCATCGTGCAAACAGCTGCCAGCACAGCGGTATGTCATTCTCGGCTTCGGCTTGCCGACCACTGTTTATGGTCTATGGCTGACGTGAGGCAGATAATCCCCTGCTGCATATCAAAAAGAAAGGGCGCCCAGTCTCACAGTGCGCGCATTGCCGGGGCCTTCGAAAGTCTCGATCAACTCATGTCAAATGTGAATGTGGTGATAAAGAAAAGGCGCACAGTGAGGGGGACTGCTATGCGACGGGGAAACAAGTTTCTATCTGTGAGCAACGAATTGGGGAACCCCGGTGTAGATTGAATTCTAACCCAAGGAACAGTAGATCACCACCAACGTTGCTGCTGCTCTCATGGCCAACCTTGCAAGTGTGCCTCAAAGAAAGACTATCATCACGATAACGTACCCCAGGACATACCCCAGGACGTACCCCAGGCCTGTGTCTCCATGTCACAACCGACGATAACGGAGCTGCGTAAGCCTCGGCTCACTCCAATTCAGTCTGAAAGAACCCTGGCGATATCAAAGGCCGACCACGACAATCCTGCACACAAGCGTAATGATATGGCCCCCAACGGTGAAATATCCAACATCAATTCCCGGACTCACATCAGCCACTCGCCTTCATACGTGGCTTGTCGCTCGCTGGACCATCTGCTTCTGTCGGAACAAAATGTGTCCGTCAACGACGAGATTTCGGCGCACATCGAGGGTATCTCTGGAACTCAGAGTACTCCCCGCGTTAACTTCGAGAATGACTTCATACATATGGCTTCAGTACAGCCTCTCGACCAGAGCAACAATCCGAATTCCCCACCAAACATGGATCCAAGTTCCATATTTAGTACCGCGAGCCTTTCGCAGACTGAATATTTGCCCTTCAGAGGGCAACCAAACAAGCGGTTCGACAACCAATTCGACCGCTATCTTGCGGTCTCACAGGAACATGATGCACTTCTGCACCCCGCGATTCGGAGTGCTCCTTGGATGGATTGGCCCACCTTCAATGAGTCTGGTGCAAAATCCTACTCAACTTCCTATAGTCAGCCTCTATCGAATGCGAGCTTTTTTGACCCCTATTTCGGCTTTCCTGATCTCGCCCCCTTTTCGGACGATATCCCGAAAGTAGATGAATTTTTGCCATTTCTCACCATTGATGGTGCACCCAATAACGACGCCTACGGATTGGCCAGCCGTAGTGACGACTCCGAATCAGATCCGAGTCACATCACTCTTTTTTCCGACGGTGATACGACCCACGTGCAGCCTCTAGCAACGAGCAATCTGAAGTCCGTCGACATTGATAAAATTCCGAATCTGGCAGGAACCGATGCTAATGCCTTTCAAAGGCAGCTGTAGACTGCACAAGAAAGTTGAGAAACGGGAAGGAAATGTGCAGAGTATCTATCAAATAAATCCTCTATTCGGGAGAGCGTTATTTTAGGAGACATCTAGGTTATTGCGACGCAGATTAGTCGATGCAACCGTGACACTGGCATTTCAGTCATTGTTGTACCCTCTCAACAAAAGGAAGAGGAATTCCATACCTTTAAATCAGTCAGGCCAGTTTGGCACAAATGGATATACATAGCCAATATGCACGCAGACATAGGTCCGCCTTCAGGAAGTTAAGAATGGTTTTTACGCGCCTTGTGAGCTTTCTTGGGCGCTTAATCATAGAAGAGGTCTGTGCTTTAGGTAACGTTTATGTAATCATCTTGCCTCGCAAGTCATGGGTCCAGAAGATCTTTGACGGTCGTAATTACGATGTCATTATTCTGGCAATCGTCATATCTACATCGTCGCCAATGTCCTTCAGGACCCCACGATCACCCGGTTAATAAGTGTTACGAATGCAGATGACCCTGCCAGGATGGTTGGTTACTTGATTGGTTACCAAGTTACCTTCCCGACCTGGAGGAGTAGCGCCAAGGTTACGCTAAAACCCGCGAAAACCACTCATCTAAAAAGGGATCAACTGAGGCCTTAAAAAGGGATCATGCGAGAGATTGTTATCATTCTCTCTATAAGCTCCGCATATCACACACCAGTCGCCAATATCGAGATGTCGGTTCTTACATTCCAAGTCTGGCTCGCGTTCTTTCTTTTAAGCACGCGGCATGTTCAGGCGACACTGCGCACGTATCATTTTACACTACATAGTGCCCAGCGCAGTCCAGGTATGTCGAAAACATTATCTCCCGGGGTCACAAGCTGACGTCTTCCGCGAAAAGATGGCTTTCCCCGAGAGGTCTATCTCATCAACGGGCAACAGCCTGGGCCAATGATTGATGTTGAAGAGGGGGATGACTTAGAAGTTTTCGTTCAAAACGAGTTGCCGGTGGAAACCACCATCCACTGGCATGGTTAGTAGATATAGTCCATTCCAGCGCTCAAAGCAGCATTTCCTCCAAGCTTTTTACTGATAGATTCTGCAACAGGCCTTTTACAGCGCGGATCACCCGAAATGGATGGTGTCCCAGGTGTTACACAGGTGAGTCTATTCCAGTTGCTACCAAATCCGCGAAATGGATGACCAACACACGAGAGCAGTATCCTATACCACCAGGAGGTAATTTTACGTACCAGTTCTCTGTGGGAAATGAATACGGCTTCTTCTGGTACCATTCTCATTTCCGCGCTTATTATAATGATGCCATACGAGGGCCCTTGTTGATCCGCCCGTCATCTTCACGTCGCCGACCGTTTGAGGATCTCGCCTCTAACGGAGACGAGCGGGACGCCATGTTGGAAGCTGAGCGCAATGCTACCTCAGTGCTTCTGAACGACTGGACACATGAGCTCTCGGACACCATATACGCACGATATTTTGAAACTGGGGCCTTCCCGCATTGCGTTGATAGCATACTTGCGAATGGGCTTGGCAGGGTAGAATGTCTGCCTGAATATATCCTTGACGCTGGACCTGGTCTGGGCCTGGAAACAGCGGCTACCAGTGGGGTGGCTACTACTACACCCGCTTCCATGTCGAGTTCAGTGGGTATGGATATGTCTGGAATGATGAACAGGATGATGGATAGTATGCCTGATACGATGTCCATGGAAGATCAGTCGTCCATGCCAATCATGAGTCTCACTGAGTCCTCTAACCCCACGATGGCTACGACGGATATGGTAAGTATGGCCGGTTCTACGGGCATGGCTCAGCCCATGAAGTCACTCGGCCCTCGTGGATGCACTCCACCCATGATGTTCCGAAATGGATACAACATGAGCTCTCTGCCATCAGAAACTTGTGTGAACACGACGGCTCGCCAACTGAAAATCCCTGCAAAGAGCTCGCAGGGATGGCTTGCGCTCAACCTCGTCAATTCTGGAGCGGTCAGCGCTATCAGGGTATCCCTCGACGCTCATTCAATGTTGGTGTATGCTGCGGATGGTCTTTATGTAACCCCACAAGAAGTTAAAGTAAGCTAAAAAGCCTGCTTGCCGACCTTGTGCTGATTGCCATAGGTCCTACCAATCGCCATTGGTCAGCGATATTCCGTCATGATCAAGCTTGATCAACCCGAAGCGAGCTACTACCTTCGGTTCGCTACTTACCCAAGTGGAGATATGCAGCAGGTTCTTGAAGGCCAAGCCATAGTATCCTACATTGTAAGCAGGCAATCGCCTTAGTCCATCTTATATACGCACTAACCTACTACAGTCAGATGCGAAATTCACAGCTACTGCAGACGTTTCCTTCGATTCCACGTCCAGTTGGATGTTCACGAATGGCTCGGCCAAACATAGGAACACTGAACTCGTTGAAAGCAAGCTGTCCCCTTTCGAAGGTAACAAACCACCACCTAAAGCCGCAGATGTTACTCGCCTGTTCGAGATTAATCAAACGGATATTGTAACCTGGGTTGTGGACCGGTATCCGTACTCCGAACCCAAAATCCCAATCATATATGGCAATGTATCCGATGCTTGGCAGGCAAACACGACGCTCCACATGCCATCGAACTCAACGGTTGATATCGTGATGAGCGTTGCGAATGGCTCGATGGACGCTGTATGTATTTCATTTCATGGCTCTTGCGCCGCGTCAAATTCTGTCGATACCTTATCAAAGCTGATGTGTTCTCCAGATGGGTCACCCAATGCATCTCCACGGCCACAAGTTCTGGGTACTAGGCTCAGGGACTGGGACTTTCCCGTATCGATCCCTCACTGATGCTCCATCTTCTGTAATCAACCTTGAAAACCCGCCCTATCGGGACACTACAGATCTGCCACCGTCAGGATGGTTAGCAGTTCGGTAAGTCGACTCACATTGAAAGGAATACTTTTTTTGGGGAAGGTATCGCGCCGTTCAGTTACTGACGTTGACGTAGTTACATCACAGATAACCCCGGAGCATGGCTTCTTCATTGCCATTTTCAGTGGCACATTGTGGTAAGCTTGATTTGCCCCTCCATTATTCTACCTTGACCAGGGAACTTGGTCGCTGATCACTTCATCTAGAGTGGAATGGCGTTGGTGTTAGTTGAAGGGCAGGACCAGCTCCCAGGCTTGGTCGGATCTGCACCTCCCAACACATCCAAGACGAACCCAAGCCAGAATTCTTCAATTTCATCGCCAAGCAGGACAGGCAGTGCTTGGGTCAACAACCTCAATATGCCAGGAATCGTTACTGGTCTAATCTTGGTTATCATGAGTGTGCTAATGTAATATACACGGCGCCTTGTGATAAGTGTATATTTGAAAAGTGAAGCAAATTCTCGCTGGTCCTGATGTGGCTTTGTATCTACTCATTTGATTCCACAAATACACACCGGTCGATCGCATGTTTTCCGATACATAACCACTTTATGTACTGCCATATTTCTAAAAGATATCTCATTCACTTCTAACACTGAAAGTGATACCTAACAGCATGCTATGACAATGCATTAGTCAAGCCAACTGTCAGGCACTATACAGCACATGGTGGATTGCTTGATAGCGGGGCATGTTGGCGGGAAAAGTCTCAAGCTCGACTGAGTAAATTTCGGTGAATTCGTGCTGCTACTAATGGTCAGCGCGAGCTTTGGATATATTCGAAGGCTAAAGAACGCCTGCCGTTGTATGAAAAAGCGACTGATCCGTGGCATTTCGGCGGCAAGTTGTGAGAGAAATGTGCGTTTTTTACCATCTGTGGGGCGCTTTTACGAGCCGCTAACGAAGCGATGGCTAGACTGTAAAAGCCCAGACATGGAGGGCCGCCTGCTCTGGCCACTAGCTGGCCATTGCTGTCAACTGCGGCTACAACCCAGCTCTTATGACATAATTTTTGGTTAGCTGATTTCCAGGAACAGTATTACACTGGTAACGCGCGCTTCGCACGCTGTGGCCCTGAAACGGAACAGGCTGAACGAAAGGTTAAACTTGTATTTTCGATTAGGGGTCAGAGGATGCACGTGTGGTGTTTGTCTGCATAAGCCAATCAATGCAATGGCTACACTAGGTAGTACAGTGCGGGGTAAGGTGCGATTGATCGATTGATTCGGTGAACGTGGACGGCTTTACCCTATCATAAATTTGGTGATGGACTGTCATCCGGAAAATCAATCACATCAAGACGGGGACCCACACTGTTTAATGCTGTAAATACATAAACAATCTGAGACTATAAAAAAAAAAAGCATTAAAGATCAGGGGTGCCATTGTTCATCGTTTGTACACCGTGAACTCAAGGATCAAGAACACTATATATGCAGCGAGAAGCACTAGACCAGCAATCCGACTAGCTCCAAAAAAGACGACCGTTGCAAAGCATAACGCGGACATCCAGACTATCACTAGGTCAAAAAGGACAAATGTATCCGACTGATCGACGGGACCTCCTGCAACGGCAACAACACCGACGCAGAGCGTGAGCAGGAATATGTTACTCCCTGCTGTGGTCGCAACAACAATCCCTCCTTGTCCGCGCAAGCCGCTAAGTACAGAAATTAACTTTTCCGGTAGGGTTGTAGCAAAGGCAATTACTGTCAGGCCAAAGACGGTGCCCGACAGCTGGAGGGAATCAGCGATGGCACCTGCGCTGTGGGCGAGAATATATCCCGATAAAGAGAGTGCAAGCAGACCAAAGAAGAGTTGCAAGACATGTTGATAAAGTGGCTGTGGGAGATTTCTGTTTTCCTCTTGTGGTGGATTCGTATTTGGTAAGAGAGGAGAGCTCTCTGGAGCTGACGACCAGCCGGCTCGGCCTATTGGTCGCTCCTCACCAATCCTGGGTACTACTTCGTCGCTGTCACTGTCCGACATCTCAGGCGGTTCAGTTATACCCTTATAAATTGAATAACCAATGGAAATGATATAGAGGGCGAACATAGCGATCAGGATCCCACCGGTAACTCGATTTAGTTGGTCGAAGAACGCTAAGGCCACAAAGAGGGTGGTGACGGAAAGCAGGAGTGGGGAATATATCTTTGCACTCCTATCAAATTCCATCCCACCCGGATGACATAGAAGACCCAGCGAAAAGGCACCGAGTATGTTGGAAATTGCAGATCCCATAATGTTGCCCAGGGCAAGGGGGCTACGATGTTGTAGGATTGCGGCAACAACTACAGCGAGCTTGAGGCACTACATCAGTATGAATATAAAAGAGTAAGGGGAATGAAGACAGCACCTCTTCATATTCGGCTCCAGCTGTCAAGAGAGCAATAAGAGTCGGCGAAATGCCTAACCGCCGTCCCACGATAACAGTATGGTCAAGGAATTTGTCTGCCCCATAGTCAAGGACGAAGACCCCTGCAATAAACGTTGCGGCGTTGAAGCAGAGGGTATCCATGTTGACGCTAATATATACAAGGGCAAAAGTGCCAGAGTGCTAGTGTAGGTTTCTGTAGCTGCCTAGCGGACAAGGTCGATAGGTCATTGATTTCGATCGGTCACATGACCGTTCTCCACTAACGACTCGGAAAGCCGGCCGGGATGCTATTAAACCTACCCTGGTAGACTGGCTCTTGTAAAGCAACGCCACAGTGTAAAATAGACAGTGTGTAGACGTTTATCGCCGTTGACAACACAGAGGTATCCTGCGGCAAAACTGTGGTTTTGGGTATCATAGTCAAAACCACAACCGCAAGAAAACCGCACTAGCATAACTCTCGCCTCATTAACCGATTCCAGCCTATCAGGTGATACTTATACAGTTTTCCAAACTCTTTAACCTAATTTTGAAGATACGCCTCTTCTCATAAAACAGTACAACGCTAGACCTGGCTTTGAACCGCCCATAGGTTCCAAACTTTTTAACCTGGACCTAACCCTAACCTCAAGGAGGGTCGTTGAGGTTCAACCTCATGAACCTACATGAACCTGCATATGCATAATTTTTCGACGCTTTTCCTCTTTTGGCTGGATAAAAGCGATGATTCATCTCGGATTTTTGCAGCTGTTTTGTTGACCTGCCGGCATTCGTCTGACTACTCTGTCAACGTGGTGAATTTTGAAGAAATAATTTTTCAGAAGTAGACAGAAGGCATAGCCATTGATAAATTACAAGTAATATTCGATGATATCGACGAGGTAGGGGGTCAGTAGAGGTCATCGGTGAAATTGCATGTAAAGATGCAGATATATATATTGTGAACGCTGCGACCCATGTCTATCTTGACCAGCAAGTTGAGAATTTTCCTTTATTCTATTCTGTCGAACTGAGGGGTGGTATTCTACCACTAAGGACAGGGTTATTCATCAAGTACCCATTCTCTCTTTGTCTCTGTATGGTAAACGGGGTACGCTCGGCATACCAGCGTCGTAACACGCTAGGAACGACTCCTGAGATCTGATAACGCTTCAACAGCAAGATCCAGATAGAACAACAATCAATGCATCTCAATGGGACACCTCAATACTAGCACATACCAGTATCCGTCAATCCGACATATTCTCTTGGGAATTCAATTGCCGAAGTGTATCGCAAAACTCCATAATTCTGGCCTGGTTGTTGTCCCACGTGGATAAGCCAATAGGAATCGCCTCACGTGTCGATTACCCCTGATCGGCAGATGTTTACTATGCCTACGGCATAGTAAACCGGGTCCCAAGCATGTATTTAAAAGAGCTTTTTTCCAGGTTTTACCTAGATCGGACAAATTCACTTATTTGATTCTCACCCATACCTTTCCGTTCAGTAGATCAGGATAGCACCTTCATGCTGCATTATTCTAGCCTGCTAGTCTAATTCAACACAGCAGAACTATATGGTATCGAGAAAACCACTCAAATATAGATGAAATTTCCTCAATTTTATACAAAACAAATCGTTATACCTTTCTCTATGAATTTGTCTCGAAGGATTTGGGTTAAATTATCTACATCTGTCGTGAATCCAGTTCAAAGGTTCTCATTGTTAGACTTAGCCATTTAAACAAGACGATTTTCCTAATCCAAGTTTAACCTCCAGGTTCTGTGCATGTAAGTCAGGTTAAGTTCTAGGTTCTATACGGATATATGAGGTTAACTTTCAGGTTCTATGCGGGTAAGCGAGGTTCTCTTCTGAAATGATCCACCATAATAGCCAATCAGACACGGGTCAGCAGATATAAAAGACGATAGATCAATTCTAGTACGCAGAACAGGGTCAAACGGATCCCCCAAGAATATCGCGTATATATTCGAAAGAACAAATGAGTAAGTTCCTTATTCTCTTGCTCCTCAGTAATCATACCCTCTACTGGTTTACTAAATCTATTATGTCTCAGCCCTCCGGCGCCTACGCGTCGTCTAGCTTCGATACCACGGACGGGTTACCATTAGACGCGCTCAAATACCATCTCCCCGAAGATTACCTATCCCAGCGCGACAGCCAGAACCAACTACTATCCGAAAGCCAGCATGATTCAGTTCCAGACCTTCCAGACTATCCATCTCGCGTGGCATATCAGGCCCCAAGCACCCTACCGCGAATCAAGCCCGATCGGATTAACGAATTCATCGCCTGCACGCCAGAAATGACAGCGGAATTCGTTAAGTGGTGGCTTGATACTGGCTATGGCAAATCGAAGCGGATCAACCGGGACGGGAATCTAACAAACCGTCGAGCAGAGTGCTGGAAAGGATTTCAACAAGTTGCAAATGCCAAAGATGGCAAGCTAGGCGTTATGTGTAATAAGTGCCGCACAGTTCTTACGCATCCAGCTACAAATCATACTGGAACTTCATCGATGCAGAAACATCTCGATGGGCCAAGATGCCGAAGGCAGCTACCGAAGAAGGGTGCTAGTAGTATCCGACAACTACTTAGTGGCGCGGTATGTTCTAGAAGGTCTAAATCCTACATTGATACTAATGATAAACTCACTACCCTATAGGCCGAGAAAAGACCAGCGTCTATCTTTACACAAGAAGTATGGGAGCAGATGTGTTAGGATGAACCCCTGATGGCGTGCTGGTACGATATAGATACGAGTGAAGAATGTGAGATATGCCTGATATGAGTACGGTGATATTCAGACTAATCGCTGGTCCTCCTAAGAAGATCCAGCTCCTCCTTTTCTAGGAGATGTCTCTGTGCGTATGCAAGCAGATAAGCGAGGTGATGTATCAACAGGTGGTTTCGGTGGTGCGTAGGCACCTCCCCCGCATTCCCTATACCTCATTGTATGGTTGGCGTAACAAGATGCTTCTTGATCTAATCACTACATCGAATTTACCCTTTCTGTTTGTCGAGCATCAAAAATTCCGTGACTTCTTTTCCTTCGCACGGCTAGCACCCGAACCACCTAGCTTTCCGTCAAGAAAGGTGATTCGCGAACGCCTCCGGGGCTTCGTGCTACAGTATCAACAGGAGACTCTACAAATACTTCCACCTGGTGCAAAGCTATCACTCGCACTTGACTGTTGGACTTCACCATTTCAGGACGCGTTTATGGCTATCACAGGATACCTCCTAGACAAGGAATGGGAGTATCGCGAGGTCCTTCTTGGGTTTGAGCCACTTTCTGAAACTCATTCAGGCGTGAACCTTGTTAAAGTTGTTCTCCAGATTCTACAGAAGCATCAAATCACTGATCGTGTACTGGCGGTAACAACTGATAATGCGTCTAATAATAAGACGCTTATGACTGCGATTAATGATTCAATCCATGAACTACAGCTAAAGACGGATTCAACGATTATTCAAGTGCCCTGTCTTGCTCATGTCATGAAATAACTTGAAGCGCAAATTCGCACAATCCCATACCAGAAGACAAAGCCATAAAAACTTTATAAACTAGCTGCTTAGTCTATATCATTTTCCATTTATAGTGTACATTGCCCTTCCATGGAAATAATACCTCTTGCTTGAAGAATGAGTTACCAAATCCTCCCTAATATCATGCTTTGAACCACGGAGCTCCGAGAACCTATAATTATGCAGTTCCTTCTTTGTTCTTCAGTCGCTCCAGGCGTTCCAGCCGCCACCTGGCCCCCCGTCGCATCTCGATCATCAACAGTGGGGAAGTGCTAAGCGTGATACCAGCGAGCAGGACGAATGTCCACGTTGGGGTGAGGGCGTTGATGATGGGCTGAACCGCCGCAACACCTGCAGCACCGACTTCGCATCGTATCAGATTGTTGACGGCGGTCGCACTGGCACTGGCCCCTGGATAGAGGTCAATGATTAGAGCGCTGTTGATGGTGAATATGGCAGTGGCGCAGTAGGCAATAATATACTGCAAGATGATGGGAACGGCAACATGCGTTCGCAACGAGACTCCGTAGAGAGCAACAGAAACTATAAACAGCGCAGTAATCCACCAAGTGTTGCGCATGCGTGCATATTCGATAGGGAAGCCGGGGTGTGCCTTGGAAGTAATGCAAGTATCGATTGGGAGATTTTGTTTGCGGCAGTATTCGCGCTCTGTCCGCTTGTGGTTGTAATCCATGAGGTAGCCAATGGTGTATGAGCCGGACATACATCCAAAGCCTATGGAATGGTCAGAATGAGCTGTGTGAACTGCGAGGGATGCTGCTCACCATTTCCCAGGAAAGTGAGTCCAACCTCCATTGTAGCCATTTCATACGTAGACTCGAAGAGATCCGATGTCGAGGAGGTAACCATGGACCACACAGTGTACACGATGCTACCAAAGAACAGGGTAATGAAAACGTCCTTTTCGCCCAAGAAGGTGAAAGGGGCTAGAACTGTTCTGCAATTCACCTTAGCTTTCTTTCTAGGTGGGACTGCATTTTCCTGGGTTTCCCTTTGCCCGGTAATGTAGTAGATCAACGGCTTATGGAGGCCACGGAGAGGGACGGTGCCGTTGCCGGCGATGGTGCGAAGGGTTTCAGGAAGAAAGGATACAATGGAGAGGAGACTTAATCCAGATAAAATCACCAGAAACCAGAAAATTGACCGGAAACCCAGATACTGCGACAAGATACCACCGAAAACAGGGCCGACTCCCTGGCCCAACATACGGACTTTCGGCCTATCAGATTAGACAACAGACTAGGTCGGTGGCAACTTACCTCCACCAAAAATTCCAACAAGGCTACCTCTCTCCGCCGAGGTAGTAATATCACCAATAACGCCAGCCCCTGAAAATTCAGTTAATTACTGGGGTATAAGAACGGGTGAGCCATACCAATCGAGATAGTTGCTGAGCTGCCGACGGCTTGCAAGGCGCGAAAGGCCATCAGCTCGCCATAGTTCTGAGACACAGCCAGCGCAATGTTGGCTATAATATAAACAATAAATGTTCCAATAAAGACCACACGGCGGCCAGTCACATCCGAAATAGCACCCCAAAAACTTGGGGCAAGACCTTGAGCTATCATATACACCGTAACGGTCAGGGTCGTTAAGGACATGGAGACGCCGAGTTGCTATACCATAGTAAACATCGAGCACTTATCTCGCCACGTCGAACCAACTAACCTTCGATATTGTACCCAATGCAGGAAAATATATATTCGAAGACAGTGGTGAGAAAATAGCGGCGAGCGAGACAACGCAGACTATCTCCAGCTTGCGCGATCGATTAAAGACGTGGTATTGCGGTGGTGGTGCTTGGCTTTCGAGTTTGACGGTATCCAAATTTCGCGTTGCGGGTGACTTATCATCTTGCGGAGAGAGATAGGGACTCGAGTTGACGGAGTTGTCTGTGATATGAAGCTCCTTGAGCTTTTCTGTCGAGTTGAAGGATAACATCGTAGGATATTTTTATATTGAGAGAATTAAAGTCACGAAAAGATCAAAAGGGCATAGATACGAAGTGAAAAACTTTGGTTCCCCTGCTTCAACCCTATCTGAACAAAAGATGCGCCAGACCTGGCCCCTTTTGTATTCTGACGTTCAGCACTGTGACTCCTGGAAAGACACGTCGACAGCGCACGTCCAAAGAGAGCCACGTAGACCGGGCCCACTGTAGGATTGAACACGGAGAACCACTTGGGACCGACTTGACACGAGAGTGTGGCAAACACCTAACAAATCTGGCAAAGCCGATGTTGTTCAACTCGACAAATATGGATCAGGGTACACACAACGTGGCCCCCCCTAATTACCCGGGGCGGGCTTCGTCTGCAATATGTGTCTCAGCACCAAATGGCTGGCCTTTAACGTATGAAATGGAATTTCCTTCTCTCTAGAGGTCACTTGAATATACCTCTTATCCTCCGCAGCCGATGCTTACCATAGGGCAAGCAAATCCCTTTGTCCTACGACGGATTTGTTAAGGATTCCTCCCCTGCCTTGCGCACTCGTGCACTGCACCGCGTTTTTTATACAGAAGATCTGCAAGATGAAATAAAATAGAATAAAATGAGATAGCATATGATTAGACTCCAGCCTAGTGCTTAGAGGGTTTGAATAAGAATCCCTTGTAACTAGTCTAGACATCGAGAATATCGGGTCCCTTATTCGGTATCTTCGTCTCGCACTGTACCGATTTTCTGCAGTCTAGCTGCTGCATAATAAGTGCAGGCGAAATAACATGGCCAATAATAACTGCAAAGCCAAGGCTTGGCAACAGGACCACTTTCTAGAAAAGAGAGCTGTCAGGGCCTCATCGATCCACGTGCCGCATGATGGCAGCGATAAGCTAGACACGACAAGCAATTGCCAAGCTTTCATCATCACCTCGTCATGAAGATGGTGTTTCACGAGAACTACTAATAATTGAGTACGTATATCCTACATCCTTTTCAAATATGATTTGCAATTTAGAGGTGGATCCTAGCCCTTGCTTCTCCGGGAAACACCGATGCCCAGTAAGGGAGAAAGGGGGTGGGCACAAGCCCAAGCGTCTACGTGGAGCGGAAGGAATAAGGGCAAGATCGACGGTCGAACATCCTCTATGCTGCCAAGGCACAATGGTGTCAATTCTTGGTTGTTGATCAGGGCCTGATTAGATCCACTAGACACGGCTTCCCTGGTGAAAGGACGCCTCACCCATATTGCCCGTGCTTACATCGTTTTCCGGCTGTGTAAATCGCATGTACAATAGTGCACCCAGTCAGCAGCCTCCATTTCAAAACCTTGAAACGTGTACCAGGCTGCGCGAAAATCACGGCGAAGAATGCCGAGACTTCTTCATCATTCGCTGGTGATAGTCCATCGCATAGCCAAACTCTCGTCAGAATCTTTTTCGGGTACAACCTACAGACCTAAGGCTGATGCAGCTCACTCTTTGCGGTTAATTAAGTCACAACGATTCCGGTTTCTGTTCTTGCCAAGATCACTGCACACACACTAAGCTTTGCAGAACTTTTCACTCAGAATACGGTCGGCAAAGGGATTGCAGCATTTGGGTACGGGAAGTGGGAAGTAGCCGACAGCGACATTTGTTACACGTTGAGTGATAGCCATTTGCAGATTGGCCTGGGAATACGGTAAACCCTGATCGGGGTACGATATCTCCACCCGTGATCTTCAGTGGGTCTCGACCTGTGGCTCGTAGTGGGTACAAACCTCCGAGCAATGCGGATCTGATGCAGCCCGGCGTGGGATTGCTGAGCTTGACGAATTGACGTTCACTAACCAACCCATGGCCTGGTAAACAGACTTTGGCAAATAAAGGAATCCAACAATTCTCGCAGCAAAAATGCAGGGGCATACTTAATATGACAAGGCAACCACTCTAGGCACCTGTTCGCTATGACAAACGGCTCACATTTCCCAGGTTTGAGTGAAGGGCCCTACTTGACACCGGTGTGCTGTGTTGCTGAACCGATTGATGTAGCGCAGTGCATTCATTATCTTTTGAACCCACACTCAAAGATTACGACCCCTTCGAATAAGAACGCTATTAAAGAAGCCTAGCCAAAAGCCGAGACTGTTTCACGTAACGTATATCCATTATTAAAACAAGGCGAATATCAATTTAAATTTTAGTCGTGAGGTCATATCATCGTCACTAGAGCGGCGGAGAAGGGTAAGAGTTCCAACCTTGGCTAGCTCGCTGTCGAACTGAGAAAAAATCAAACCTCAATCGTTTAAATATTTCACCGTTTTAACTCGGCTAAAATATTGAGCTTTTAAAAAGCCTCAGGAAATTTCCGACAATGATCCGAGCTATCTTCAGGGATTTGTTAATATTGACGGCACCTGTTTTTGCCAGTATCAATTATCCGCCCATTCCGGAGGACTTGACAACACCATTCCAGGTGCGCTTGGCGGTCAATGGACGATATGGTAAGAAGTATCAGCCATCAAATGAACTTTGTTTGGAACCCAGCCATTGATAAAAACCGTTATAAAGCTGTCGCAGTTGGATGGAATACATATGAAGCATTAAACGAGAGCTGTGTGACATATGGTACCTCACCGGACAACTTGAGCTCTCGCTCATGCTCGTCCTCTTCGGTGACCTACAGCACTTCCCGTACCTGGTCTAACATGGTGGTGTTGAGCGGCTTGGACCCAGCGACCGCGTACTACTACAAAATCGTCTCGGCGAACTCGAGTGTGGAACCTTTCTTTAGCCCTCGGATTCCCGGAGACAAGACCCCATTTAGCATGAATGTCGTGTCAGACTTGGGTGTTTACGGCAAAGATGGGTTCACAGTTTCGAGAAGAGAAGCAATCCCCTACGTCCAGCCCGAGTTGAACCACACCACCATTGGCCGTCTTGCCAAAACACTAAATGACTACGAAGTCGTCATTCACCCGGGTGACTTCGCATACGCAGACGATTGGTACCTCAAGCTGCCAAGCGCACAAGAGGGTCAAATGACCTACCAGTCGATTCTAGAACAATTTTACGAGCAACTTGCACCAATCACTGGACATAAGATCTACATGGCCAGCCCAGGCAACCATGAAGCGGACTGCAGTGAGGTTCGGCGTCTCCTTAAACTTTGCCCCGAGGGCCAGGAGAACTTTACCGATTTCAAGCACCACTTTGGAAAAACGATGCCTCAACCATTCACATCGTCTTCATCCAACAAGTCCGCTCAGACCCAGTCTGACAAGGCGCGCAGCTTCGCGAGGCCACCTTTTTGGTATTCCTTTGAATATGGCATGGCGCATGTGGTGATGATTAACACTGAAACTGATTTCCCTAATGCACCGGACACTAAGCTGGAAAGTGGGCCATTTGGCAACAAAGGCGAACAGCTAGAATTTCTGGACGCCGATTTGTCCAGCGTGGACCGAGCAGTGACCCCATGGGTCATTGTAGCTGGCCACCGTCCGTGGTACAGCACCGACTCTGTGCATCGTTGTGAGTCATGCCAAGATGCGTTCGAAAACCTGTTGTACAAGTATGGTGTCGATCTAGCCGTATTTGGACATGTGCACAACTCACAGAGATTGCTGCCTGTTTTCAATGGGATTGCCGATCCACGCGGCATGCAAAATCCTAAAGCCCCTATGTATATTATTTGCGGTGGTGCCGGTAACATTGAGGGTTTGATTCCTATTGATGATAAGCCGTCTTACACCAAATTTGCTTACGCCGACGAGTACAGCTACAGCACGCTGAAGTTTCTGGATGACAAGCACCTCCAGATTGATTTCATTCGCTCGTCAAACGGCGACATTCTGGACTCCAGCACATTGTACAAAAGCCATTCCATTCCTTTTGTCACTCAGTAAAAATGGGGCTGCAGGTGCTTATGGGATATATTCCTTTGAATTGAAATTTTCAATGTATTTCAGTGCGGCTCTGGTCAAGTTTACCACAATTAAAGGATGGCCCTTCGAACCAATGAATTCTCGAAACCTTTTATGGGTTCCTACACTCGTTACATCGGGCAAAGTTATCCTTCTCAATAAAGCAACAAGCAGGTGAGTGCTTCAGGCCCACACCCTTGACTTAGCCTACCTAGATTTGTTTTATGGAAAACGGAATCCGACTAACAATATGTGAAGTGATAGCCTCAAACAAGACTCTGGACGAAATGGTATGCATTTTTTCAAGGGTGAATTCCACGGCTGCACTATCATCGCCGTTGAACATCGTGATAGACTTCGGTAAAATTGTAATTTTAGCGAAGGGGTCTGTCGCCGAGTCTAACAATCCAAAGCTGAATTTGATGAAAGGCAGGCTTGCGAAACGGACCGGTTGGAAGACATTAAGCGACCTCCTTTGTCCCTTAAATCATTGACGTCGCTCAGCTGCAGACGGCTTCGGAAGCTCCGAAACATGATGACCATCAATCGGGAGAAACAATAAAGTTCGCTACCTGCTGAGGCTCATTGGGAAGGTCATGGCATATTCTCATAGTTTGACGATGAGCCCATTTTGCTTTTTGTTGGAGCACCTGAATCATCCCGCAGCTCATATATCAGTTTGACCGTGTCTATGATACGTGACGCACCCATTTTTGTCTAATAATTTTAACTATAGTTTTTGGAGCTAGCCACAAAGCGTGCTGTGCAGGGCAAGATTTGACAAAGCAGGCTTCCTCCCGCCGGGGCCCCGAGAATGCCGCCCAACTCCCAGTGATGAACCAACTACCCACAGGGTTCATGGGCTTCAGCCAGCGCAAAGGAAAAACCCCTGTTGTCGCTGCTGTGAATGGATTTGTGCTAGGTGGAGAGTTCGAGATATGTCTCAATGGGTGGGTGGAACGCCAAAGCAACTGTGGCTGTTCTTATGTGCTCGGATCTTAGCGTCATAAAATAACGCTGCAAAATCATAGGCTTGACCAGACGAATTGTTCACTCTATGTTAGAGCAAAAATTTATGATGGTTGAAGAACAAACATCTGTTCAAATTCACCACGTAAACTGTGCAAAGAGAAGCTTAAGGAAGCCATAGCTTGGACCATGGCTAATGCTATGTTACTGGCTTTTCCGATGGCCGTAGTTTAATAGTGCAGTTGTAGATTTTGCTTCCATTGACTCTTGCTGTGATGTGGAGCTGGTGCAGATCAGGAACCAAGCCGCGCCGTCGGGATTAACTCCGAGGTGTCTATACGGACGACCAAGTTGATTGCAATCAACTTGGCTCATTGTTATATATATATAGGCTTATGTATCCCTTCTAATGGTGACCTCACCCAGTCAACGGGGATCAGGAACGTGTATAGTTTGGCCGTGACGGGTCACCTGTCGCGGCGGTCTTAGACCGTAGCGTCAGATAGAGCCCATCCGCGCTCCCTTGTAGGGAGGCAATGTGTCCGTATATTTGTGATGGTTTCTATATACAGAGGGAAGGTGGGAGGGACAAAACGAGTCTTGACTGCGTGAGAGATGACGAGCTACCAGCAGAGGCGAGCATTGACTCCCGTGAGGCAGTTGCGGGAGGGGAGAACCCCTCCGTAGGCCTGTGGGCTCTGTGCGGGCATCACGTGAGGCAACCCCAATAAAACTCCTCCCTTTATTGGTGACCTCACCCAGTCAAGAGAGATCAGGAACGTATATATAGTTTGGCCGTGACGGGTCACCTGTCGCTGCGGTCTTAGACCGTAGCGTCAGATAGAGCCCAAATGACCCGGGCCAAACTAGGATGGTGGAGGGGACGGTGGAGGAAGCAGTAGAGACAGTGGAGCCGGCGAGCCTGTCTGGAACTGGTGATTGAGCTTGTACAAGACAGACGTGTTCGTCGTAAAATACACCCTGAATGCATCCGAGGTCCATCTCCCGAGTACTTGGATCTGATCGTCGAGGATCCCACTATCATGCGCATGTTGAGCCGCACCTTTCCGAAAGCTGTGGCCTGAGTAGCCGTTCGCGTGTATCCCAAGTACTTTCAGCTTAGTAGATAGGGTAGAGAGGAAGTTGTTGCGATTGAATGGTCTTCTGTGAAAGGAGAATAACGGGGCGTCGGGCGCTTTGGGGTCGAGAAGTAGTAGCCTCTGAAGCGCATCAACTGGACAAGCTCCGTCTCCTGTTTTCGCAAGGATGATCTGTGCTCCTTCATGGCGTCGGTCCGTTTTGCTCCGCTTGAGTGTGAGTTGTACGTGGTCTAACGAGGACGAGAATCTGACGTCGGAGCGCGTTAGCTTTGTGGCTAAGAAGGTAGGACGTGTGCTGAGATCTTCTGTTTTGTAGGTAAATTCTCCGAGGCGAAGGAACCCAGCAAATGCTACCCGGCAAGCGGTTGCGAAGTTTAAGTCGTCTAGAAGGTTTGCGGTCATCTCCAAGGACTGTGACGGGAGTGTGGCTAGGCCTGCGGAGAGTTTCGTAATGGTGTCACGCGAAATTGGTTTTCTGACGCGAACTTTGGTGATTGGGTTGAGTCTTCTTGCGCCGTCTATAAGGCGTCGAAAGTGCTTGTTATCGAAGAGTTTATCCTCAAGGAAGTTGTCAATATGGTAAGCCCGGAGGGCGGCTAGGTCGGCGAGTGCGGTATCGGGCTTGACGGCCTTTTGGGTTGAATTCCCAAGGAGTCGTGAAGTTAGCCAGGAGGTTAACGACTGTGTTGAGGCTGGCCAAGCCGAGAGATTTTGTAGCGCACAGTGCTTTTCGTAATTGCGTTGAACAGAGTGGTAGACGGAACGTGTGTTAGCGCTGAGGCCGCTCCAGAGCAGTTTTAGGTGGCCTGCATTGAGCTGAGGAGCTCGCGAAGAGAACCACGCGGGCGGTTCAATACCGAGAGGTCCTGCCAGTGGGGACAAATGTTAGCAACCTCTTGACAGTTATTACGGGAGAGGGCATCTGCTAATGTGTTTTCCCCGGAAGGAAGCCAATGTGGCACGATTTGGATATCTCTCGCCGCCGCTAGGATAAGGAGGCTTTTCAGAGGTACGTTAGGCGGACCATGCAGGAAGCCTTTACTCAGTCCTGTGTAGGCTGTGGAGCTATCCGTGTGGATAACGAGAGTATGATGAAGCCAATGGTGGCTGAAGAGTAGGAAGCCTTGTAGAATGGCGTCTACTTCGGTGGTATTGATGTGCGCGTGTGCGACTTGGTGCGCGTGTGCGTCTTGGTGCGCGTGTGCGTCTTGGTGCGCGTATGCGTTTTGAGCAAGGGCCAGTGAGGCAGCATTGCTTGGATGAAGCTGGTGACAATGGGCCAGCCAGCAGTCTGATATAGACTTGGATGAGAAGAAGAAGAGTCCCTGGCCTTTGTTGGAGGCATCTGTGTAGAGATGTGTGATAGAGCGGCGGCAGGGGTCAATTAAGAGTACGCCGTTGAAAAGAGACAAGGAGTCCCTCCACCATTCCAAATCATCACGTACCTCGTGGGAGATACGGCGGCGCGCGCTCCTCCCATGTGGGAAGGCGGCTTGGAAGGTGTATAGAGACTGTAGCCTTGTCCTCCCAAGTCGGACAACTCTTGAACAGAAGGCTAATGAGCCTGTGAGACGCTCTGTTTGCTTGAGGGAGAGACTCGCTGCGCTCAGGGCAGCTGCGGCGTCCAATGTGGCGCGGCACAACTTGTCTGGTGGCAGGCGAGCTTCCATTGCAATAGAGTCGATCTGGATACCTAAGACTGTCACACATGTCCCTTGCTGGTCCTTTTTGGTATTGCGGGGGATACGCAGGTAGTCGGTGACTCCGTTGTAAACCTCATTAAAGGGACCCATAGGGTCGGACAGTGAGGAGGACCGAATGATTGCGATGAAGTCGTCTAGGTAATGATTGATATAGAATATAGGAAGGAGGCATTGGAGTATCCAATGGAGAGCCTCGGCGAAGAGATTGAAGAGAAATGGGGCCGTAGCGAGGCCAAAGGGGAGGCAGCATTCGACATAAGTAGAATCGTTCCACTGGAAGGCAAGGAGATGCTGGTTATCCTCAGCAACAGGGACTATTCGGAAGGCGTCCTTGATATCCCTCTTGATGATTATGCAACCTGGGCCAGCTTGTGTGACCTGCTCGTAGATATCATCGATTGTTATGTATTCAATAGCTGACCAGGAGTCCGGTATGCCCTGGTTAAGGCCTTGTCCAGGGGGCCAGGATAGGTCATGGATGCGGCGCCATCCTCCATCGTGCTTAGGGACTAACCCCAGCGGCGAAACGAAGGAGGGCCTACAGGCCAATCTAATGCGACCGAGGTTGAGGTCCTCTGCGAGTTTGGCCGAGATCATTTCGGGTTCGTGTATGTGATGGTTGGAGGAGTGATAGAACTGCTTCTTGCCCCTATATCCGATCTGGACGCCGTAGGTCAGGATGCCAGTGATAGTAGACCTGAGATCGCCTGGATAGTAGCGTAGGAGGTTACTCCAGCCTTTTGCATATAGTGGTGACGGAGAGAACTGTAGCTTTGGGAGCTCCGGGTTGAAAACGGGGTATTGGATAGCAGTATTCGGCCTGGGCGGTTGGCCCTGCGGAATTAGACTTGGTGATAAGGGGTTGGAGCTTTTATCGGTCTCTGCAGGGTGTTCCCTAACGGTAGGGTCCACTTGCTATGTCTTCTTACGGCAAGAGGATGCGCCATGCTGGCTTAGACCGCATGCTGTACACTCATGACGTCTCTTGCAGCCTTCCCAGAGACATCCTGTGGTGTTGAACTTATCGCACACCTCGGTTTCATTATTTGAAGACCTAGTAGACCTTGTTTGGCGAGGTCTGGCTGAAGGGTTTGCCGGTGAGTTCGCAGGCAAAGTAAGATTGTGACGGAGATACTTTTCGCGAAATGGGGCTGTGACGAGGTTGTTCTCCGTCGATAGCTCTCCTTTATCCAGAATGTATTGGTGGAAGTTAAGGGCGAGCGGCAGTACTGCCTCTGACCACTGATATGTTTGAGCGAGATCGAGGATCTGCCTCATGAACATAAGTAGGTTGGGAACTGCCTTTGGATGTTTCTCGCCGAAGAGATGTCCTATGACGGCTAGGTATGTAAGGAAGCAGCTCGTCCATGTTTGAGGGTTGGGGCCCCAATCCTTAAGCGATGCCGCTGCTTTCCTGAAGCCTACTGTGCCTCCGGACTCGGTCATCTTGAAGACCCTGTCCTCATGATCTTGCTCGGTGACTGACTTCTCTTTGAAGCGTATGAGTTCAGTCGCCTTCAACTTCCTCTCGAAAACGCGAGTAAGAAGGGCGGCGGAGACACCCGGAAATATGTCGATGAGTGGTTTGACTTCAGGGGGTGGCTCACGGTTTTCCTCGAAATTCTCGTCACCTTGCAGGTCCACACGAGGCCTTCTGTGGCGGAGGTCTGTCTCCGCTACATCCATTTCGAGGCGCCTGGCCCTGTCTCTCTGTATCTGTCCTAGCCAACTGGCGCGGTCCGCCGCGCCCATGGTTTCCCAAATGTGGGCCGGGGGCCAAGCGGAGTCAAGTGGGGCAGGCGTGACACTGCTAGACTGGCTGAACGTCATGGTGGAGAGCGATATGGTCAAGGCTTATCGGTGTTATTGCCGCAGAGAAAGGACGTGAAAACAAAACGAGTCTTGACTGCGTGAGAGATGACGAGCTACCAGCAGAGGCGAGCATTGACTCCCGTGAGGCAGTTGCGGGAGGGGAGAACCCCTCCGTAGGCCTGTGGGCTCTGTGCGGGCATCACGTGAGGCAACCCCAATAAAACTCCTCCCTATAAAAGTTCCCTCCCTACTCAATAACCCTGTCACCGCTCCCCCAATAATTACTTTGATTGAAGCACCAACAGACCTTTCCGTCTTATATTCCTTCTCATTTCTTCGCAGACACCTGCAAAGATGAAGTTCTCTTTTTTTTCATTGCTTTTTTTGGCGCTAGTGGTCTCGCGACGGATGCTGTTTCTGAGCTCAACGGCTCGTTGAAGTACTACGAGAGTATACCCAAGGGTGTCGCTCGGTATTTGTCCGATCCAAAAATGGAGGAAGAATCATCGGGCCTGGGACTTCCCGGTGTGATTCACATGGAGCAGGTACAAAGGTTTCTCACACCGGGGCCCCAGCAAATGGGTCTGGGCTGGGGCTGGGTCATGAGGCGTCGCCCCAACCCAGTGCCGGGTTGGGGTTTGGGTTGAGACCTTCGACCCAAATTGGAGTTTGCGGAAGTCTAGGTCAAACTGATGAATGTGAGGGGCTCCAACAATTTATATGCTAGTGCAGAGATCAATAGTGACGAACTGAGAGAGTGGTCAAATACCACTAGGACCCTTTGGGACGCTTATTCATCGATCACCCAATTCCCACTAGTATTTGTACGGTATTCCGGGCAGATTCGGAAGGACGGTGTTGTAACACGCCGAAGCTTATTTGTATAGACCCCTGAGATCGTTCAACCGATCTTTAAACACCTACAATCAATCACCTGATTCTATTGGACATGTTCAGTACCAGCCAGTACATCAATTCCTCATCCTGACAGTTATGAGCCCGATCTGCCTGACTGTATAAAGGAGATATATCACCTACCTGCTCTGTATCTCGCAGTCAACGAATCCCCGAAGCACCCAACACGGTCGGATACCCCTGAACGCCCAGCCACCCCTTGTGAGCTCTTGCGTCCAGTGCACAGAAAATCCGGACCGACAAGCAGCCTTCGGAAACGTTTTATGAGGAGATTTTGAGTATCTGAGCTATATCTTGTGCGAAGATGTCCGATATCACGAGGGAAGATCTGATGCAAGTCCCGCTTGACCAGAAGCTTCAGTCGGAAGCGCAGTGGAGGGTCTGGATAGGCCATATCAAATCAGCGGCTGTTGCAGAAGATGTGTGGGATTACCTTGATCCTGAGAAGGCGGATGACGAAGTTCTGCAGGTGCCTGAGGCTCAGGAAGAGCCCTCGTTACCCCGGGATAACCGCCAGCGGGAGAGAGATATCATGGACCTAGAAGATGCGGAGCTCAAGAGATACACGTTCACTGTTCAAGCGTACGATCGCCGCGATCAGCGCAGACAGAGGTTATTAAAGACTATGTCACGATTAAACAGCCTCATCACCCGTTCGTTAGCCACGGATCATCACTACCTCGTCGTGGGCGAGGATTCACCGCGGAAGAAGTTGATGAAGCTATCCGAAACGTTTAAACCAAAGCCTCAGAATCGCCAGCAGCAACTTCGTCGTGCTTGGAGAGAGATGATCAGGCAGAGGCCTCAAGGGGATACTAACCACTGGTTGACCCAGTGGGTTAGCCTATTCGAAGAAGGCAAGATCGCGGGTATACCTGACTGCTCTAACGGAGACCATTTCGCGATACGAGACTTCTTGGACGCTATACAACCGGTTGATGATACTTGGTGCACAGCCTGGCGCGAAAAGCTCGCAGATCAGGAGAAATCTGTCACGTTTCATGAGGTTATAGCTAGCTACCGTAGCCGCCGGGGTGATCTCGCGATCTCCGGGGGACGGAAGCAGCCAAAGATAGCTCTGGCTTCGTTAAACGGTGAACCGGAGGCTAAGCCCGCGGAGAGGACCTACCGGAAGAAATGCCCGTGCGGTAACGCTCATCCTCAGCACCAGTACTCTACGTGCTTCTACCTCAATGAATCACTTCGACCGGAGGGCTGGAAGCCACGGGAGGGTACTCTTCAACGGATTCCTGAGTTTATCAAGCAGATGAGCCCTCAAGATCAAGAGAAGATCGCCAAAATACAGCAGAAGAAGGCTGAATCAGCTCACCTAGCTGGTACGGCACCGCCAGAGGGCCAGTCCCTAGCGTTCTTCGCTAACGATACTCGATCTATCGCTGCGTCAGAAGTGGACGATGAGCCACTCAAAGATAGCTGGATTCTTGATACCGGAGCCACCTGTCATATCTGCAACGATCTCGAGCAGTTCTTGACATACATGCCGCGAGAAAGCACCGTCAAGACCGGTCAAACAGTGACACCGATGATAGGCTATGGGCAGGTCAGGATCACCGGGAAACACCCTCGTACAGGCACTACGGTGTCTGTCACCCTAGACAACGTGTGGTACTCGCCCGGCTTCCATACAAGCTTGATCTCACTCTCTGTGATTGAGGATAAGGGCTTCTGCTTTAAATCTGATGAAAGAGCGATATTCAAAGCCAATGAAGCTGTTCTTAAGGTAGAGAGACATCACGGCCTATACACAGTCATCTACAACCCGAACCACCGAGCAGCGTTTTCCGTACGGCATTCGGAGAAGCCTCACCTCTCAGCAGCTTCAGCGAGGCGCTGGCATCGTCGGTTGGGCCACGCCTTTGACCAGAAGATTGAGAAGCTGCCGGAGATGGTTGATGGGGTCAAAATTGATAGAATCTGCGAAGATAATCATCACGATAATCCCGAGAAATGCGAAGTCTGTCAGCTAACAAAGTCTAAACGCCAAATCTCTCGAAGGACAACTGGCACACCGTACGGCAAGTATGGTCGTATCCACTTCGATCTCGTTCAAATTGACCCAGGGTATAACGGAGATCGCTGGATGACACACTTCTACCTCGAAGGCGTACGCCTCCACGCGGCCTATACCCATGAGAAGAAGAACGGCTGTCAAGATGCGGTTAGTCAGTTCGTCGCACTAGCTAAGAAGCAGTGGAATCTTCCGATACGTGCCTTCCGATATGATAACGAACGCTCTGCTGGGCGTACGGTGGAAGATTTCTTGTCAAATGAAGGCTTTATCATTGAGCATAGTGTAGTGGGCACCCCGGAACAGAACGGCTTCGCGGAGCGATCTGGGGGGGTGATAATCACCGTGGCTCGTACTCTAATAGCCGATGCAGGCCTCCCTAAGAATCTATGGCCTGAAGCTGTTAGAGCTGCTGTATGGATCATCAACAGATCGCCCACGAAGCTACCAGACGGCCGGTGGATAGTCCCTTACCAAGAGGCATTCTTCAATCAGCCACAACAGCGTGTCAACCTCGCAAACTTGAGGATCTTCGGTTGCCGAGCGTACGTGCGGAAGCAGGCTATTCCGAACGCCGCGAAGATGGAGCCACGCGCCGAGATAGGCTATCTCGTTGGCTATGAAGCCTCGAACATCTGGAGGGTGTGGTTTCCCCGCAGAGAAGCTGTACGATCAGTGCGAGATGTTGTTTTTGATGAGAACGTGTTCTTCAATGCTCGAGAGCTAGAGAAGGAGCCGGTCCGCGATATATTGGAGACCATGCCATGGGCTATTGGAGACGAGGATACTGACCAGGGCACCACTGAAATAAGCCTGGATATACCTCAACCAGTTGGAAACATCGCGGACTCACAGGGAACAGAGCCACAGAGCTTGACTAAGCCTTCCAAAGAGAAAATAGCCCCTTCGCAGCCAGCGGAGCCTCAGCAGATGATATCACCGTCGCCCACGCCGTCCGTTCAGCCAGTGCAGACCTCAAATCCTCGCACGGCACCAGAATCAATCCCAGGAGCCTTCCCGGCACCACCAGACCATGATTCTCAAGATCAACTCGCTGAACAGCTTCAGAGAGAGCTCTCGGCAGCCACACTTACCCGAGAGACTCGTACTGCGCCCAGGGATATAGTGGGAGATGTTTCGTCTCGCAACATCGTGTCGGGCTCACGCAAGCGAAGATCTAGAGATATCAGCAATTTAGCCTTCTCAGCGGACGACGAGGAAAATGAAGAGGGGGTACTCGCTGCCTTTGCAACCGGCCTCAATGGATCTCATTCACATACAAGAACACACCGCGATGAGCTACCTTCGGAGCCTCAGAATTGGCGAGAGATGATGAATCATCCATTCAACGAAGGCTTCTTAGCAGCTGCTGGCCTCGAGGTCAAAACAATTGAACGGAAGGGCACTTTTGAGGTCATACAGCGTCCGAACGACCGCAGCGTGCAGGTGCTCCCACTAAAGTGGGTCTTTAACTATAAGTTCGATAGTGATGGATATCTGGTGAAGCTGAAGGCGAGAATCTGTGTCCGAGGAGATCTTCAGAAGCTTTCTACGGAAGAAAAGTATTCAGCTACCCTCGCTGCCCGTACGGCCCGCGCCGTTCTCGCTCTGGTCGCTGCGTTTGACCTCGATACACACCAATTTGATGCTGTCAACGCCTTCCTTAACAGCACACTGGATGAAACAGTGATAACGGAGATGCCCGAGGGGTTTAGGCAGTCTGGATATTGCTGGAAGCTCCTCAGAGCTCTCTACGGCCTACGGAAATCCCCAAGGCTCTGGCAACGTGAGGCCACAAAGGTCTTGACTAAGCTAGGTCTCACAGTCGTTCAAGAAGATCTTTGTCTCTTCGCATCGGACGGCATCATCGTATTCTTCTATGTAGACGATATAATCATCGTCAATCACCCATCTCAGCGCCAGCGCGCGGCTGAGATCAAAGAGAAACTTAACAGCACATGGGAATTGAGAGACATGGGCGAAGCTGCGTGGTTCCTAGGGATCCGTATTGTCCGTGACAGACAGCAGATGGCCCTCTGGCTCTGTCAGGACTCATACATCTCCTCTATGGCAAGCAGATATCACCTGACCACCCATCGTCGCTTTGATACACCCCAGGCACCAGCTACGTTGAAGCCGTACGCTGGGCAGGCCACAAAGGAACAAATTCATGAGTACCAGGAGAAGGTGGGTTCCACACAGTATGCTACTACCATCACACGGCCAGATGCAGCCAAAGCCACCTCCACGTTAGCTCAGTTCCTCACGAACCCGGGACCGGAGCATCTCGAAGCGATCAACCGCGTGATATCCTACTTATACCACACACGTTTCCTCGCTCTCACCTATCGGCCGCGCCGATCCGATGATGATGAAGCCGTCACTTTCTTTAGTGATGCCTCGTTCGCCGATAACCCGGATCGGAAGAGCTCGGAGGGATATCTCTGCACAATCTTTGGCGGACCTGTTGACTGGAGGGCTGGTAAACAGCGTACGGTGACCACTAGTACTACCGAAGCGGAGCTGCTAGCGATCTCCGAGGCTGCGAGGACCATGAGCATGTGGAAACGTCTCTTTGAAGCTATTCGCTTTGATCCAAAGCACGAACTTGCTATCCGGTGCGATAACCAACAGACGATTCGGCTTCTCATCAAGGAAGCTCCTCAGCTGCGGACAAAGCTACGTCACGTTGATATCCACCACCATTGGCTCCGTCAGGAGGTCCAAGCAGGCAGGATTCTCATCAGATGGACCGAAACGAAAAGTATGGCTGCGGACGGACTCACTAAGCTACTGCCGCGCCAGAAGCACACAGAATTTATCCAATTGATGGGCATGGAGGATATTGGAAATCTGCTAGATTAGCAGAGGTTGTTGGGAATTGTGCAAACGCTGAGGGGGTGTGACGAACTGAGAGAGTGGTCAAATACCACTAGGACCCTTTGGGACGCTTATTCATCGATCACCCAATTCCCACTAGTATTTGTACGGTATTCCGGGCAGATTCGGAAGGACGGTGTTGTAACACGCCGAAGCTTATTTGTATAGACCCCTGAGATCGTTCAACCGATCTTTAAACACCTACAATCAATCACCTGATTCTATTGGACATGTTCAGTACCAGCCAGTACATCAATTCCTCATCCTGACATTAATTCATATTTATTCATATAATAAAATACCATACATTACCATTCGTTTCATTACATTCGAATACATCAACCATGCGCAGACACTTTATTCCATAGCGAATTATGTGCCTGTCTTTAATATCGAAGCACTGAAAATTACATGCATGCACCGGTGGAGATTTATGTCTGAGACTTTCCTCTCAATAGCATCAGCCATCGCATAGTCTCCGCGTTCAGACGGTGCCTTCGGAGGCCCAAGACATCTCGAGCATTGCTGAACTCGCGCTCAATCCCGACCTCTGCCGAAGGGATGGGTAGGTAATCGCGAGCGGCTTTTGCCATGAGTGGAAAATTAAAGGCGTTTGCCTTCCACCACTTTAGGACCCATTCTGCGTCCGCATCGCCGATCATGTGGTGGGACCAGTTGACCGGCGGGGAATCCAAATACTTGTCAATATCCGACAAAGATGCCTCTTTGGATGGCTGGACTTTGCGCAGAGTTCTCCACATTGTTTCCGACATCCCTGCTGGACGTGGATGGTCAACTTCACATGACGCAAATGGCTCTGGAGGGTATTCTTTCTTAAGAAATTCCCGCACTTGTGAGACGATAAGCCCCGAATCTTGCTCGCTCATTTGAGACACAATCAGAGACGATTTGATGCGCGGATCCAACACGGAAGCCACATAGTAAAGAAGGTTGTCGTCCATTTTCCTAGCAAACTTGTTCATCTTACGAATGCCTCTTTCCACCGCATCGCGAATTTCAATGTTCACGTCTTCAAAATCTCCCTCCGCATTTCGAACGTCATTTAACAAATCGTCCAAACTCCAGTAAATTGGTAGACTTTCCACAATTGTTGGGCATGCCTTTGAAACAGAGTTCGTGTGGTCCCAGAACGGCTTGAGGATCTTGGCCACTTGCTGAAGTGTCGACCACTCGTCATCGGTAAGCTGGAGGGCCTGAATTTCTGGATGTATCCGCACAAACTGCCCCAGCTCAGTTTGTAGCCGAAGGGCATCTTGAATCATGATATACGTCGAGTTCCATCGGGTGTCAACATCATAACTGACTTGTTTTCCAGGTGATACTTCTTTCCAATCCCTGCGGCGCTGTGGGCTACGGGCGATCCACAGCGTCAGAAGTCGTATTTTCATGATTGCTCCTTTCGTGCTGTGAATGGAGTTGAATGCTGGGCTAGTATGAATGGCCATGTCGTCCAGGATCGCCTTTGCTTCTCGAGCCGAACCAGCCCTCAAAGAAGCTAACACATCTTTGCAAATCAGATTGAGGATATGGGCAAGGCAAGGAATGAAGCTCGGTCGTCCGCGGAATCGCATTAGAGGTTTAATGCGAAAGCGGTCATCGTCATTATCATACTTCTTGAGGAGCTGGTCATGGAGGCTATTGCAGAGCGTCCCGTCATTGCCCGCATTGTCTCCTGTGATGGTCAGGAGCTTTGGCGCGATTTCCAGTTCGGCGAGCATCTTCAACACAACTTCCGCTGGATTCTCTCCAGAATGTGGTCCATTTCGATCTCGGTGAACTCGAGAAGTTCATCTCGCTTTTCGAAATCGGGGGTGATCCGATGGCCAAGGATACCCACTATCGCAATCTGATTTTCCGACGTCCAAACGTCAAGAGACAAAGCGAGTGAGCGGCTGCTCCTGGCAAGCTCCTCTTTCACGGAAGCCCTACTTGAATGGAATTCCTCTTTGATTTGGTTGAAAAGAGTATCAGCAGTCTTGATGGGCAAAGAAGCCCCCGTTGCTTCAATGAGTGCCCTGAAAGCCGGATGCTCCACCACTGTGAAAGGCTGTCTTGTTTGAATGACCCATCGGACTAGCATTTCTTCAACGCCAACCTTCTTTCTCGGCGACTCCAAGAACCGGTCGAGGCTTCCTTCGACCGCGGGTAAGAAGATGGAGTCGGCCCCAGACTTGATACGATGCTTTTTCTGGAGATGCACCAACAAATTCGAAGTGGAACCATAGCGCGACGAATCTCTGGAGGACCAGCTGCAATGTTTGCAAATCAGCAGTCGGTCTTTTTTCAGTGGGCCACCCTGCCGACACCAAGTGCTATCCAGATCTGTGGTCCAAAAGTGCTCAATGGTCCAACTAGAATACGACTTGGTTTTTCGTCTTTTATGTGGGTGCGGACTACTAGTATTGCTCCTGCTTTCCGAAAATGTAGGATCAAACGGGGAGGGGGAAGAGCTAACCAAAGAATAAGACTGCTTCGTCCGAGGCGTGTCTTCGGTGTTCCTAGGTGGGGAAGGCTCAGGAGAGTAAGGGCGTCCTGTTTCAAAGGTGGATTCCTCAGACTGCTCCGAAGGTGACTAAACCAGGCCATTGTGTAGAGCATTATAGTCTCGACGTGCAAGGCCACGCGTTCTCCGCGTGGACGGATTAGGTGTAGATGCCATGCTACTGTTCCCAGGTATCAGTATATCAAAATCGTTTCGACGGTGAAGCATAACATACCTTGAGCTACCTGGGATTGGGTTAGAAACTGATAGAGGACTTGAGGATGGGATGATGGTTGAAACATGCCCTTTTCTGCAACGCGATATTGACAAATCTGAACGTAAACAAATGCAGCCAGGGTCATTGGAGGCTCTGGGTCGTGAGGCAAACGCGTTTTTACGTGCCATTTCTCAGGGCTACTTTGTGCACCAAGTTTGTGTTGAGAATTATCCTTTATTCTATTCTCTTGGAAATTCAATTCTCGAAGTGTATCGCAAACTCCATAATTCTGACCTCGTTGTTGTCCCACGTGGATAAGCCAATAGGAATCGCCTCACGTGTCGATTACCCCTGATCGGCAGAGGTTTACTATGCCGTAGGCTAATGATGGTTTTTTTGTAGCTGCGGGTTCCCCAGCTGTTGCACAGTGCGGCGACTCATTCCCAGCGACCGATCTAAAGTTTCATTTCACTTGCCAATGTCTTAGAGGGTATTTAAGTACCATTTCTATGTCTATTTCTATTCCAACAGAACTTTTTACTAGCTGCTGACACTTTCTTTTAGGTGTTGGAGTTAGTGCCTACCTTGGGGCGGCTGCTTCCATTGCCAATAAGACATACCTCACCGCGGCAGGGAGTATCCTCACTTCAGAGGCCCGCCACAATGCCTACCTTCGCGCAGCACTAGGCCAGATCCCTTTTGCGCAGCCTTTCGATAATCCCCTTGATTTCAATGAGGTTTACACCGTTGCCTCGCCTTTCATTACTTCGTGCCCTTCGAGCAACCCGCAGCTTCCAGTGAAGGCCTTCCCATCTCTGACAATGGTACCCAGCGGGAATGTCATGAACGGATCCACAGCGACTTTGGTGGCTGGTACCGGCTTCAACGCCACAAGTAATTCGAACTTGTCAGCTGCGTTTATCACGGTCACCGGGCCTGTCCACGCGCCTCTCAAGTCCGTGGGTAATGGTCATTTCGTCGTGACTATTCCTGGAGGTGTCAACGGTCAGAGCTACATTGTCTTGACCAGTGGCATGAGCGGCGTGAGTGACGACAATATAGTGGCTGGTCCAGCCATCGTTGAAGTTATGTGAGGAATGTTTACCCGTTGGAATTATTGCTTTACTACACAAAAGTTTGTTTCATCGAAAAGTCTTGTTGTTGCTATATCACTTTTTATCATCGCTGAATTAATGGAGTTTTATCTTTTTCGCGTTTCTCCACAGTCACGAAACAAGGGGAAGTTCTCCATCGTAAACCTCAATAATGCCGCCCAAGACCACTTTAACCATTAAGCAGATTCGCATTCTGATAGCTGATTCGCATTATCGGGCTCAGCTCCTCAATGTGGGAGATATCCTGGATCGGGAAATAGTGTGCTTGAAAACTTTACCATGGATCCTGGGGGAGAGATGATCCCAGGAATGTCTTCTCTCCGGCGAATTTTAAAGTCATGGTAAATTATATAAAGAAATACCCACCCATCTTCCAGCCCATAACTCGTATTGCAGGAGCCGCAAGATGTCCCACAAACAGACTTAAATCTGCACCTCATAGGGCTTCTTGTAATATGAACTCAATTGTAGACTACTAGGTCTTTCTTATATTACGATTATTAGGACTTATTATACATATCCTACAGTAAAGAACAGCTTACTGAAATTCCTTCTGGAGTTAGTATATATCATTAGTGATCCCACCTCGCGCCTTTTTTAACAATCCTGCTTTTTAGCTTATTTTCCAATTATCGACTTTTAGGCACTGTGCAACTCTCCAAAGGAGCTACGACCCCATATTTCAAAGCGCTTGCTTAACACCGCAAAGACCGTGTTTCAGTCAATGTTCTTTTCTCTCTCCCGCTCTTTTCTTCCGTCTTCTGCCAACGGTCCGATTTATATCCTAGAAACCAAGAAAATTTCGATTACAGTCTTTCTCAGGAAGTGTCCGGGATTTTGTGTTGTTTCCAAATCGACATGAACATATGCCCGCTCCAATATCAGGTAATGATTCGAATTTCATTTGCAGCCCTTATGCAACACCTCGAGCAGCACTCAGTGTCTCATTGGTGCTCATAATGATGTCGACCTCAACGAGTAGTCGTGGACCCGCAGTAAAGACACGCATAGTGCCAATGGCGTTAATAGACGGAGAGTAGATCATTTATCCCCCTCCCCCCTTCATTAGTATTACAAATCATTTGTTGGCAGAGAGAAAGAAATATGACAAAAACTAGTTCCCAGGGTAACGGCGATGCCGGGACCGAAAGCGAGAGCGGTAACGAGACCGAAGCAAAATACATGTCTCTTTGATCTGCACCGCCCTCATACTGCAACACGTAAACTGCTGCTGTGTATGCTTTTAGACACACTATCGATATCAAAGTGAGGATATTTGTTAATATAATCGATGTTGCCTACATTTTCAATGGAAGCCTAATCTTCTCTTATACTACTGTTTGGAATGACGAGGATTACTCCTAGAACTTGTCTCTATCCTCTCACAGGCAGCCTTCTGCTCACCTTTTGTCTCTCAATCGGTCTGACATTTAGATCAAATCATCATTGCTATGCTGGAACTTGTGGTGAATGGCTTTTTCCTCTCCAGGCACGATTACATGTGGTGATTTGGTATTCCTGGATATTGATATCCATGGTATTCTTCACTGTTCGCGCCTTTCAACCCCAGCTGCGTCGCTTTCTCCAGCGACAGTTGGTTAATCGCAGGATCCCCCTGGTTGGTGAGCGATTTGCTATCAGCGCTTTGCTTGGATTCATCTGGATTATCGGCCTATACGGCATCATCATAGGTGTCTGGTGGAGTCGCCTGCGAGACTATTTCGAGGACAGGGGCCGGAAGAATGGCATTCTTGATGGAAATCACCGCCTCGCTGCGATTGCGTTGACTGGCCATTTATGTGATGTCACAATGGGAATGGTCCTCATCCCCGTCTCCCGACACAGCGCACTTGCGTCCTTCTTCAAACTCTCCGTCTCAACTACGCTTACCTTTCATATGCTGACGGCATATACACTCTTTACTCTTGTACTGATTCATGGATTCCTCTATGTATCTTGGGTGCCCGCCTTCAACTCTCTCTCAGAGAGGTTTCGGACGGTATTCCCTGTCTTAAACCCAACGTATTTATACTACGAGATTTGGCCGGGTAACTCATCAGCCTTGGTCATCTGTCTACACGCTAGTACAGTATTTTACTGCGTGGCTCCTGGGTTAGCCATGTGGGTGCTCGACTGGGGTATGCGACTATATGAGTTGAGAGAGTGTGTACCAGGCAAGGTTGCACATCTAGGAAAAGGATGGTATTGGTACGTGGACTCATTCATGTCTTCAAACCGACCAAGCTAAACTGTATTTAGTATCGATATGCTACTCCCTCGACACCGACTCGACGGCTGTGCGTGCAAGTCCCCGGTTGCCCATTTTTACATTCGCCACTCAGAATCCTCCGCCCGGGAGCTCCATCCTTTCACCACTATTACCCCTCTTGCTTCTCAGAAAAATACCACTTCGGACTCACGAGATGATATAAAGATCCAATTTCTCTTCCGTAAGCGGGGTAATACGGATAACCTTGCTGGGCGACAGACTGGGAACGAAAAGCGGCGGACCTGGTTCAGGTTGTTCCAAAAATCAGCGGTGCCAACCTTCCAGTGGACAGACAAGATAGCTGGTCTCGCCGATAAATACAAACCATTGTCAAGATCTGGAGAGAATGGCAGTGACAACCAGTCAATCGACACACATTATATCGAATCTGCCAACAGGGGTCTGGTACGCACATATCCGTCACAGGGAGTAGACCTCTCTTTACGACTTGAAGGGCCCTATTTCTCTGAAGCAGATCCCTCGCAGTACAGGACAGTTATATGTTTTGTCGCCGGTACTGGGGTGAGTGGGGCTATAGCCATATCCCGTGCTTTTCTTGAAAGGAGGAGACAGCAATCAACTGCTGTTACAGATTTCCGTGAATTAGGAACCAATGATGGAACCGAGATTGCACCTAAATGGGAGAGGTGTTTGATTTTTTGGAGCGTGAAAGCGAAGGATTATACCTATCTACCGTTCCTGAAAGGTAAAACCAATTTCCATAACCATTAACTCTCAGATGTGTACTGACGCGGACATGGTTAGCGGATCCAACCAACAATTTTCAAATCCATGTGCACCTCACTGGTAATGGCGGATCTCGGCTGAATATTGAAGAAACTTTGTCTTCTATCTGCCGTGAATCACCTGAGGGGTCTAATTGGGTCTATTTGTCAGGCCCTAGCCAATTTATTGCATCTGGAGAAAAGGCATGTAAAGCGAATCCAGGAGTCGAGTGGTATAGCGCAAAATGGGACATTTGATTATTTTCCCCCTCCCTTGATTGCTGTGTACAGTCATACTTAAGCAGAACTCTAGATGATGATGAAAGGGGGCTCGTGGGAAATGTATTATAGATGATGTCGTTGCTTCCACGGTTTTGAGCGTGTTACACTGGAATAGATGGATGGATGATATAACTTACCTGGACCCCTCGCAATGACCGATGTGCACGCAACCATAACTATATATATCTGTGTATGTAGACGCATATCGTAAAACTTTTACTCTTACCTATCTTTGCCACTGCCTGGGTAAATAATTCCCCCAAACCTTGTTATAACCGCAATAATGTCCAGGTGTGTTGGTACCCATCATCTCCCAGGCCCTAGTAGGAAGCCCATAAGCAAGTGCGAGTGTTTCAATCCTTTTAAATCTTGACTCTAGTATACAATTACCAAGCATTTCTTTTCTTCGTCTAATTGAATAGAAACGGTCTACGTTTGGACAGACGTGGATTTCTAGTTTTTACGTAGCCTATTCCTTCTATCATTTTCATCTCAAAATTGGCCAACCCTACAAAATATATTTCTAGCATGCTAGGATACTTGAAATTCATTTACCATTGGCGGAGCAAATAACCGTCCATTTGCGTTGCTATGTGGCATTAAATAATTTGCAGATCATTTCTGCTTACAGCCAAAATGTGGAGGCTGTCGTTCGAATAATGCTACCCCAGGAAATCTGAAACCTGCCATCTTTGAGTTCTTGTTTAAACTTATGTGACCGTCCCGTGAGTTAGCTGCTCTGGCAGCTTGCTCTCTCTTTAACATGCACGCTCCTCTGGTTAGCTGATTAGAATGTTTCGTGTGCCTTATCAAGGTGCAGTTCGCCACCTGATAATAGCAATTTTCTTGTGTTTTCTTTCATAGCTACCATCGGCTGGTCCTATGACTTGTTCTTTTGTTTCTCAGTGGCAGATGTGTTCTTAGTACTTTCAATAGCAACGAGGGCTAGCTGCACATCAATTCTTGAGATAGTGGACGGCATTTGACTAATGGCACAGCTAAATCTTTGAAGGGGAACAAGTTATCTCAGTGGATATATTCTCCATGAGAAATCACAACAAAAGTCTCTCGCTGCTCTGCATGTGCCATGCCTAGTGTTGTGGTATTCTCAGGAATCTGAGATCAAGATTATGATGATTTGCCCATTCCAACTATAACCAACAATGCCACATTCATTACAACGATGAGCAGCCAGACGATTATGACAAAAAACGAAAGTACGAAGCTGTTTCTCATCGGGACCTGTTCGCCCTGGACGTCAGCTTCGCGCTCACCGACCTCCACCACTGGAACGCTCATATAGCGGTTGAAGCATGTAAAGTAAATCAGTGGGGCAGAAACAAAGGGCAGGATAACGCTTAAGACGACCTGGCTGGCATTGAGGGTCCGGCTCAGTCCATCTTTACCAACGGCGCCGGCAATAATGATACTGGGAATAATACTGATTGCACGAGTAATGAGTCTTCGAAGCCAGGGCCGGACACTCCAATTTAACATCCCCTCGCTCACCATCTGGCCTGCCATTGTGCAAACAATGCCTGCAGAGATCCCTGACAACAGCAGAGCCAGGGCAAAAACCAGACCGGCGGCAGGAGCTATCGACTGGGAAAGTAGCTTGTGGATGCCGAAAAGGCCCGCATCGCTGCTACCCGGCAGGTCGTGCAGGGAAGCACCTGCGACAATGAGGATGGCACTGTTGACAAATAGTGCAAAGGTAAACAGCACTAACACTAGCTCGATAACAGAGTATTTCATGCACCCGCGGATAGCATGAATCGAGGGCCGATACTCCACCGTACCGCTATTGCTGCCAAGTGGAATTGAGGCATTCACATAGCCTGCCGTGACATCAAACTCCTTCAAGCGAGACTGGACTACCCCACTTCCGAGGAATAGGGAATGTGGCATAACGGTAGCGCCGAGGATGCCACAGCTTTGGTAAAGACTAGTGACAAATTATTTCAGTGAAATCCATCAAAAAAAGGCCTATTGGTGAAAGGACAAATAAGCTCACCCATCCGACTGCACAATAGCAGATGATGGTAGATAGCCTCGGAAGACTTCCCCGGTTGGCTGGTTCTTGATGAGGGACAGTTGGATGCAGAAGCATATGACGACTCCCAGCGCGAGGGCCAAGACAAAGAACTCGAACAAGCGCATCCCCCGCATCGACCCGTTGGGTCGATAGAATAGGAGCAGAAAAAGGACATCCACCAAGGTGATGGCGCATCCAGCCACCAGTGGGACCTTAAGAAGTAGATTCAACGCGATTGCCGATCCGACCACCTGTCGAGGCTATCAGCATGCAAGTCTTCCATCTTTCCGAATGATCAAGAGTAGGGGATCCATACCTCTGCAATATCGGTTGCAATGATGGCCGCCTCTGCGAGAATATAGAGAATTATCACCAGCCATCGCGGTAGATGTTCTCGGCAATTTTCTGCTAGATTAAGACCGGTCACGGTGCCTAGTTTGATGCACAAGCTCTGCAGAAGTATAGCGAAGATGTTTGACATGAGAACGATGAACAGCAAAGCGTACTTGAAATCCGCTCCAGCAGAGATGTCCGTGGAGTAGTTTCCCGGATCAATATAGGCGACCGCGATGAGAAATCCGGGCCCCACGAAGCGTGCGAACTTGACCAGACTCAAGGTGCAATGGAGATAAGAAGATGTAATTATAGATTTGAAAAAATGGCGAGGTGATTTTCTAGTCCTCGACACTGGTTCACACCCTGAGGCTGTGGGAGCGACTGGTTCGCCGTCGGGAGTCTTTTCTGTTGCGGTATCCTGCTCCCCCTGGCTGTGCATTCGTGGATTGATGGACGAAGTATCATTTTCGGCTGCGGTTCCGGAGTTGGTGACATGCTTAGAGCTTCCCAGGACATTGAAGTATTTTCGTATGGTGATGTATGAACTCGAGAGTAGCAGGTTATGGTTCCAAACCCGCTGCTCCGCTGTATCGTTGGTCCTCGAGGGGCAATTCATGGCGGTCGCTGCGTGTTTGCAGGTGCTATTCGATTATGGCTGCGAAATAAGCGACTTTTGGATGAATCTGGCGACCAAAAAAAGGGGCCGGGTCTGTCAGCCTGGACGAACTCTCAATGAAAGCAGAACCACACCGCAGTTTGCTTAGGGGAACTCGGAAGCCGAAGTGCCCAAAGTTCAGCCTAAGACATCTGGGCACTCAACAGATCAGGTTCTGAGAAATGGTAAAATAAAGATCTACACCCCTACTATTCCACATGGTTATGCATGTCCTTATTTTCCTTGTTTTCTGGTGCCCGACAAATAATAAAGAGATAGGAGAAAAGAGGAAAGAAGCGCGGAGCCTAAAATGTATGTTGTCAACATGCACATTTCGTATTCGGAATTATTATTTCACAACAGCAGCTGGTGACATCAGTTTCCAACATGTCACAAATTCCTGCTTCTATTCTTTTCTACGGAAAGTCCGCAAAACTAATTATTTGTCTAAGGGAAACAAGAATTCTATGTCAAAGCCCTCTTATTCCTTTGTATATTTCATTTGATTATGACCATCAGTGGCTGTTTGCGGCTATGCGGGAGGGTGATCTCAACTTGACATTATCTCATTTATTTTATTTTTCGCTCTCGTTCCGACTCCCATTAGGGTTTGTGGTTAAGGTTTCGGGTCATTTAGTTCCGGGGAAATGTATTTTATAAATAGGCTCTTTGCGTTCATATCCCATTGCAAGGGACAAGAATTCTTCCGGATTCTATTAAGGGGGAGGATCAGAGCACCTACTGGAGACCAAAGCTTGGATAAGGTCCAGGTTAGTCTTGTTTGGCATTCCTTGAATTGGTAGGCATTTATTCATTCGTTTAGTCCATACTGTTAAAATATAACATGTCTACTCCGTATCTAAAGCAGACATCCTGAGAAAAACATCGTTCATGTCTGTTTATCCATACTATGTAGTTCACCTAGTATTTTATAGAAATGGCTTTGCGCGCTCATTCGAGGTGAATTGTGGTCTCGCTATGTGAAAACTTCTATGGAAAGCGAGCTTCATGGGGATTCAGTGTTGATAAATCGGTCAATGAGATCTCATAAGCTAACTAGTCTCATGAATGTTGATACAAGCCCTAATGGTGTTTTGGGTATTTCGAATGTCGATCATTGCTTATATTTCTGCTTTGGGTGGTCGGCTGCATAGCTGGGTTAGAAAACTCATACATTTCTCCACAGATTCAAAGCCATTTCCACCTTATTTCTGAACGGGCGGCACGATTCGCCGGCAGCATATAAATTCTGACCCCGAACCCGATCATTCATTCCAGGGTCCAACCTTCTCTGGCCTAACCTCGGAAACAAAGAATCTACGCTTCCGGCACGTTTAATAGTCATTACTATACCTGGATGCCGTGCTTGGGTTTGTTCTCGGATCCCTTTTACCAATTTGAGTAATGATAACATGACCACATGTACCATTTTCCATTATATAGCTCTAGTAGTGAAGACTCAAGTGACAGATACGGAACAAGAGGTTTGAATAGCGCAAACAGATCTAAGTTGGTGCGCAGAAAGCCTGTTTCAGAGCATGCAAACAAGCATCAAGTCTTCAGCTTTGAACAACAACAGGTATATAAGGGTGATTCCCCATCCATAACCTCTTTCTTTTTACATCCATCCTGTTCATGAAGTTTTAGCAGCAATTCCTAACAACTTCACCCGTTTCCTTTTCAACCAATTTACCCTCAGCCCTCTTATATTCAATTTGTCCATTTTGGTCTTCAATTATCAAAATGAAATCGTCTTTCTACACCGGTGTTGTTGCTGCTACCAGCATTGTTCAAGCCAATCCAGTTTCTAAGCGTGCTGTTACTGATGCTGAAATCCTCAACTATGCTCTGACCCTCGAGCACCTTGAAGCAACTTTCTACGCTCAGGGTCTCCAAAACTACTCGCAGGCTGACTTCGTCAGCGCTGGATACGCTGACCCGTTCTACGACAACCTTTTGAGAGTTGCCTCTGACGAAAAAGAGCATGTCAGTTTTCTGACCAGCGCTCTTCAGGGTACGCTAAATACCCTTCACGAGAAGTCCTAGATTGCCAAAAACTAATATTTGACTAGCCGCTGGTGCTCCCGCTACTGCTGAATGCACTTATGCTTTCCCGGCCACCGATGTCGACAGCTTCGTGGTACTTGCCAACGTCCTCGAGGGCGTTGGTGTCAGCGCCTACCTCGGAGCTGCTGCGTCAATTGCAAACAAGGAGTACCTTACTGATGCGGGCTCTATCTTAACTGTTGAGGCCCGACACAGCTCTTACCTCCGCGCTGCTGCTGGCGAGGTTCCCTTCCCCCAGCCTTTCGACAACCCTCTCGACTTTGATGAAGTCTACACTGTCGCTTCTCCGTTTATTGTCTCTTGCCCAAGCAGCAATCCTGCTCTGCCGGTCAAGGCATTCCCTTCTTTGACCAGTACTACCAGTGGTACCCTTTTGGCAGGCTCCCAGGTCACCCTCGCCACCGGAAAGGGGTTCACTGCTAGCGGACCTGTCCATGCCGCTTTCATCACCGTAACTGGTCCCATCTGGGCTACTGTCACTCCTTCTGACGGAAGCTATACCGTTACTATCCCAGACGGTGTTAATGGTCAGAGCTATGTCGTCCTCACCTCGTCAAATAATAGCGTCTCGGACGATGACATCATTGCCGGGCCTGCAATTCTCGAAGTACGTGAAGAACAAATCTTTTTTTTGCAGCAAATTGCCCTTTCTTCTGTCTTGTTCTATTGTGTGATTGACAAGGTCATTACTAAGTTCACTGGCTGATTCTTAATTTGTTCTGCAGATTGGTGCCAAGAACGGCCGCCTGTCCACTGACTGCGCTGGTGGCAACAACTCTACCACTACTGCCAATGCTTCCACTGAATCTGCTGAAAAGCCTTCAGGCGCCCCTGCGACCGAACAACCCAGCTCAAGCCCCGCTGCCCCTAGCGCCGGCGCCTTCTTCACCGGCGCCGCCTCGAGCATCAAGCCTGCAGTTAGCCTGTTTTCTGTTGTGATTGGTCTCATGGCTCTGCTCTAAACCAGTACTGATCACCAAGGAAGGCTGAATAACTTGCCAGCCTGAATGGGCGATATCCACCTTTTTTGGTGCAACACACTGAATCTTGATTACCGGATATAATCAAGATCAATGGATTCACGGGCTCATTGGGACTGGTTTAAAACAGGCAATACGCTCAAGGTCAGGCCTACCAGGTGTAGAAGCAGTTGTTGAGCAGCGCTCGAAATGCCATTTGTTGTTTAAACATAACATCGCGATGCGATAGAATGTTCCTTGCGTAGTCAAATATATCGCTTCAGGCGGCTTGCAAGTCATTCAAACCTACTCTACTGTGGAATGCCTATATCCAAGAACAATCGAATGTACGCGAGAGTGAAAGTGGATTCGCAACAAGACAACCAAGTTATTGAGGATTTTCTTTGGTTTAAGAATATCCGATCGGCTCCTTCTACAAATGGGAGCCGGATCGGGATCTAGCAAGCGCCATCTTGACTAGACCGGGTAAAGACGACTCCACCAACATTTACGACGGACTTTTGTGGTGTGATATACTTGGCTTGGAGCCGCAGACATGCCCCTATACCATTCCCCCGAACGCAATCACATGAAGGCTGATTAGGGGTAGAAACTTCAGCATAGGTTGTGGGAGATAGTCAAAGAGGTCGCACAGCAGGATAGCTCTTGGTGGTGTTGTTACGGACATCAATGCCACCTTCGCAAAGGATCTACTTGAACAGTGATATACCAGTCCAAAGCGCAGTGTCTGACAAATGATGGATGCTTAAGGACAGTCGAGGTAGGGGACGTAGAGAACTCGGCCATTTCCTGGAAAAAGCTGCTTGCGCGCGATATGTTTGAAGACTATGTCGAACTGAGGGGTGGTATTTTACCACTAAGAACAGGGTTATTCATCAAGTACCCATTCCCTCTTTGTCTCTGTATGGTAAACGGGGTACGCTCGGCATACCAGCGTTGTAACACGCTAGGAACGACTCCTGAGATCTGATAACACTTCAACAGCAAGATCCAGATAGAACAATCAATACATCTCAATGGGACACCTCAATACTAGTACATACCAGTATCCGTCAATCCGACAGACTATTTTAGTGAGAAAATGATATCGCTCGGCTTGAGTGGCCTGTATCTGCAGTGTAATCCAGGGTAATTGGCCTTTGCGCATGTCGCTCGGGCTTGGATAGAAAAAAGCGTGCTTAGGCATCAGATCCAGCCAGCGTATATCCAAAGACACCACAACTGTTCTGACGGTGCTCTTGATGCAGCGTCGTGCATGTCCAGTTGATTCATGTTCACTTGTTCGTTTTCGCTTGTTAGCTCCACCGCTAGAATACATCGACTGGCTGAGCAACGCGGAGTAGAATCAGGTAAAACTATCGGACGGCATCTCTTTGCTCGGGCTCTCTAGTTGACTCGGCTATATCTCGTACTGTCTCCTTTTATCGCTCCGTACCTAAGATGGCTAATGTTCATCTGTAGGCTCGAAATAATGGGGTCCCGCTTCACCTTCTCCTTGCGCGCAGACTTAGACTCACAGCCCGCTCGTCGGTGAAAGAGGACTCGTCCGCCATGAGTCAGACTGAAACATCAGCTCACCCCGGTGCCTGTCGAGCTGCCAGGCATCAAAAGACGTGAGATTCGAATCGAGGATAATGAGGATCACCCACTGGACGTCAGGAGTTTGATCCACAAGCAGGCTGTTCTTTCGCGGTGTTTGAATGCCGAGACACGGTGGTATACGCCCATTGTCGCTTGAGCTTTGTCTCGGGTAGACACATCAGCACATGACTGATACAGAGTCGACTGAGAGAAGGGCCGAGACGATCTGGACTTTACATTGGCTCGTCATCGATGCCACCAGTAGTTATGTGGAAATGATAGACAGTATGCGATCGCATCGGTGGAGGAGAGCTCGAGCAGAGAAAATGAGGGCGTCCTGTTGTACGATAAGGGTCAGCAAGGCTTACCACCTGGACGAGTTGTTATGACTTACCTTTCCTAGAGTTCGCAGAGGGCACGCTTTGTACGCTTGAGACGAGACGATCAGTAAACTTCGTGGTCATATGAACTTGCCAACTAGATCACTTACAATCCTCTTCGGCAAGGCAATGCAGCACCATTCATGCCATGTTGTGTTCTGGTTCATCGCACTCTCTGGACGTTGCTTCCAAAAGGCGGGCTGTGGACAAAACCACCAGCATTCCTCGGTCTTTGGGGTTCTAAGACTAAAAAGACGCGAGATGCCAACCGAGGACAATGGGGATCACCTATTGGACGCCAGGAATTCGATCCACAAGGAACCTATTCTTTCGCGGTGTTTGAATACCGAGACAGACGGTAGTCTAGCCCGTTACGGCTTGGGCTTTGTATCGGTAGACACATCAGCACATGACTGGTGCATAGTGTCGACTGAGAGAAGGACCGAGACGATGTGAACATTCCAGTCGTTTCTCGTCCATGCCACCAGTGGTCATGAGGAAGGGACAGATAGCTTGCGATCGCATCGGTATAGAGGAGCTCGAACAGACAAGATTGGTCGCTTCGCATTCGACTCGAGTGACGGGACTATGAGGGGCGCTGTTGTACGATCCGAGTCAGTAAGGCTTACCACTTGGACGAGATTTAATAACTTACCTGTTCATAAAGTTCGCAGAACGTTCGCTTGAGACGAAACGATCAATTAGCTCCGTGGTCATATCTTACCGACGAGATCACTTACAATTGTCTTCATCAATGCAGTCACCATTCATGCTATGTTGACATGATGTAGTACTGTATCCAATTCGTCGCACTCTCCGGATGTCGCTTTGAACCAGGCGCGCTGGGTGCACCGGGCAACTTCTGAGAGCCAAAGGCGCGTGACAAAATACCTGTGACAGGAAGTTGTACAGTCGCAATGGGATAAGACCTCGCGATGGGGACGGCGAGAGGTTCATACACTCTGCCGTTCATGGTGTGAGGGCGGTGAGGTTGGGGCAGAAGACGGGATGGATCACGCGTCGTAGTGACGCCTTGGTCTTATCTCCGATGCCGCGATAGAACTCCCAACAGGTATTTTTCAGAGTGGCGATGGGCTGCTCCTATGTACAATGGGATGAAAATCAGTAATGATCTTGGTATTTTGGAGCACAAAAACTCCCACAATAAATCATATTGCGCAGCAGAGGACGCGATTGTTGTGATATGAAACTGGTGCAGCTCAGGAACCAAGCCGCACTGTCCGTCGGAATTAACTCCGAGGTGTCTATACGGACGACCAAGTTGATTGGAAATCGCTCATTCTTGTATATATAGGCTCATGTATATCTGTAAAACAACAAGTCAGTTCATACCTCTGAACAACAACAGCGATAAATCACTCACATATCAGGAAGAATGGATGTCTCAAGCTTCTATGTAGCGAAGCTCGCAATTGGATGTCCGCACCTGTTACTAGCCCGTTCCTTCTTCGCCTAGTGTATGCCGCGTGGTTTGAAGCGACAGGGCCGGGGTCAGTGTGTAGGTCATGGCTTTGTGCGATCACTAATGTGGATGCTGTATCCTCGGCGCCTTTTGGTGCGATGTGAATGGTTTCACTGTCATTCATTAGCTTGGAGATTCGCGACATAATCCATGACTCACATACTCTGGTGGCCTAGATTAAGGGCAAAGAGACGGCAAAGAGCTGTGGTCCTTGCGCTCGTACATTGTGGTCGAATGTCGGTTCTATTGGAATCGCATCGTCTTCGGGATCAGTAGAATTCCAGACGGGTCAGACTGAGATTCACATATCTGCGACGGGGGTATTCGCGCTTTCGCCTCGGGGATATACACAGGGGCTGTACAGTAGATCAGCTCAGTCTACTGCTGCGGGCGGAGAGACATCTTCGCATAGGCACTTGGACCGCCAGCCAAAGTCTTATCTCCTTGGTCGGCTGGCTGGTTGGCACAGTGGATCTGCTGGGAAGACATCTCTCGCAGGCACTGTCTAGCTTGTTAATCCTCGATGTATCCTATAAATATCAGTACAGAGGAAATACAATTCTGGGTCAAAGGAGAGAACTTATCAAGTGACTCAGACACATGCCTGCTCGACTTTGCGTAGTCAAGTGATTGAATTGTAGAGCAAACTGCCGGGGGTAGAGGACGTATTTATAGGCTTCTCGGCTTCTGTCAGTTACAAGCTGGGCAGGCAGTATTGAAGGACGCCTGTCGTAATTGAGGCCTGTTGAAACCCACGTCTTCTTTTAACCGCAACTATTTGCAGCGACATCTTTTGCCTTTAGATTCTCAGTGAGAGCGACGAGCAAGAGTCGTGTTGAGGAACAGGATGTTGAGTCGGTCACGAAACGTTGGCTCACTGGTGAATCCTTCACGCCCTCTTGAAGTGAGGCTTTGTGGCATATCAATGACCGGCTCATGTTTCTTGTTCTGGTACCTCACCTGTGAGTGACTCAATCCACCGAAAAGTGCCTACAATTCCATACTCGAAATCATGGAACTTTTTCCTAACCTCGCTTTAGCGTGGAGTCTATCCGACCAGACTGCGGAAAGCGAGGTCACAGTGGGATGTGCTCGACTCGTCAACCCGTTGAAGCTTAACCCAACGTTGTCAACACTCAATTTTCGAACTTGTGACCATGAAAAAACTTCAATAAAAAGAAAATATGTCGGATTTCTGAGGCGTTCAACGAAGGGGAAAGAGGTGTCTGATTGAAATGTATATCCTCAACAGGCGTTGATCTCTGGCCTTCAACATCGTGAGGCTTGATCAGTTTCCCCAACTGATATACCTTTTGCTGAACACACTGTCAGCAGCTCACTGAAATGTGGAACGACTCCAGTCAGAATTTGACTCCTTCGACTGACCGTTGTGGTAATTGTAAACCCAGTCCATAAACATCTGCGTCCATATAGTCTATAAGAGAAACTAAGGATCGATGGGAATTGTATTAACCAGACCCGTGACTTTTTCCTGTGGACAAAATGGATGCCCCGAACAGCTCGCCACACCAGGAAAA